TATGACTAATATGACGCATTTTAAGAACTCCTTTGCCAGTGGTGAAGTATCAGAGTTAATCCATCAATCAAGCTCTAATTTGGATGATATGATATCAATTCCATCGTCATTTGTCTGTCGATTAATCGATCAAAGATGGTGTCAAGTCAACAAGAACAAAGCTGGGATTTTTCTAAGTATGGAAACAGTTTTGGGAAGCCCTCTTTGGAGAGTTGTATCTCGCAATTGGTTCAATAGAAATGGGCGAATGAGCACTTGTTGTGAACCTGGGATGTTTGTATACATGTTGGAGTGCTTGGATCGACAAAGGGAAGCCAGGAAGAGGGTGAACCAAGGTCGTCAAAATGCTGTCATGAAACTGGAAATCTGCCAGTTTTTTACTAAGGCAGAAAGGGTGTTTGAGATAGTGACTTTGAAGCCCAGTTTCATGAGCATGGGGGAGAATCGTTCTCGAGGCTTCAGACCACATGAATGTATGTTTGTTGTTCTACAAAGACATGGCATTGGCTAGAGGATTGCTTACCTGGAAGGCTTCCATCGAAGGGCATGAAGATGGGAGGAAAGGCTGTTTCCTGGACAGCTTGCTTAGCGTGCAAGTTTTGGTGATTGGTGTTAATTACTTTCCTTGTTGCACTTGAATTCGTTTTTATTGTTTTAATAGAATTAGGTTATGTTATTTTGGCTATAAATAGCTTTGTTCATCCATTGTAAAGAACACGTTATCATTGAATTGAACAAAAGTTACTCCGAGGAGTTTTTGAGCACGAGTGCTTGAGTTTGGTCTTGGATCGAGATCCTAGACTTGCAGACTTCGAGATCAAACCCACCACCCTTGATCTCGTAGTATTCTTCTACCCAAACCAGCCTCTTCCCCTTCGTGTTGAAGTTGCTAGCTTGGTTCGTTTTATCCGCCAAAACCTCTATTCGACTATTTCGAAATCAATCCTCACACTACCATTCTTGCTTCGCTGCGTGATTGAGAGTTCAAGTTCCGAGTTGGCTCGCATCAAGTGGCATCAGAGCCTGTGTTTAAACATAGTGGAGACCACAGCGCCTTGGACAAGGTCCAAAGGACCTGTCTCTCGGGATCCTGCCGTTCGACGGAAGCCAGAGGAAGAAGGTAATTCCGACGAGTCCATTGACGAAGGGCCTCCAATGGCGGGTCAGTTCAACACCACCGAGTTTCTACAGTCCGTTACGGCGCAACTCAGACTGGTATTCCAAGCCCAGTTTGAGAAGATCGAGCGACAGCTCGAACAACAAGGACAGAGGCTCGACACTCTGTCTCAAGCGTTGCCAGAGGCGGGCCGAGCAAAGGAAGCTCCTCGCGGCAGAGAAGTAGGGGACGACCAGGAGCTAGGGAATCAGGAGTTATTAGCTCGGATTGCGGAGTTGGAACAGCAGTTGGTAGTCCACAACCCTGAGCCCGGACGCCGTAATCGCAAAACTCGCGATTTTCAGAGAAGAGAGCAAGAAACAGAGGTCGTGATTCCTCATGGAATCAAATTAACAATCCCAGCTTTTCAGGGAACACTGAACGCCTCTACATACCTTGATTGGGAACGGAAAATCATTATGTTCTTCCAGTGTGGGCAATTCACCGAACAACAGAAGCTGGCCATGATCACGTACGAGTTTTCGGACTATGCCGCCCAATGGTGGGAACGTTTACAGCTTCGCCGCCGGCAAAACCATCAACCACCCGTGGCGACTTGGGAGGAGCTGCGTGGTCTGATGAGAGAGCGGTTCGTTCCAGGTTATTACCAACGCGAGCTCCATGACGCGTTCCAAGGAATTCGTCAAGGTGCGAGGACGGTGGAAGAGTACTTCCGAGAGCTCAAACTGCTCTTAATGCGCGCCGACGTACGAGAGGACAAGGAGGCAACAATCTCACGATTTCTACATGGCTTGAATCGTGATATTCGGCAGAAAGTCGAGCTTAGGTCTTTCCTTGACCTTGAGGAAGCAGTGCACCTCGCCACCAAAATCGAGAAGCAGTTGAAGCTACAAGTCACAGGCAGAAGGTTCCCTGCCGCAAACAGCGCACCAAAGCAAGCTACTGAACTTGAATCGAAGCCTGAACTGACGAATAAAACCACAAGGCAGGTTGCTACGCCAACCCATGAGAGATCAGGAACATCTAGTGGGAGCATTCGTTGTTTCAAATGCCATGGTTTTGGGCATAAATCGCACCAATGTGCCAACCAGAAGACACTTATTCTCAGAGATGGCCAATATTGTTCTGAAGATGAACAAGAAGAGGAGAAGCAGAAGGAGGATGAGGCCGACTCGGATTCTGAGGTAGAAGCAGCTAAAGGTCCGCTGTATGTGCTTCGACGTGCCTTGACAAGTAAAAAACTGCAGCCATCTGAAGAAGATCAGCGCATCAACCTTTTTCACACTCGTAGCCAAGTTAAAGGGAAGAACCTGGCCGTGATAATTGACGGGGGAAGTTGCGCAAATGTGGCGAGTCTTGACGTAGTCAAAAGACTCGGATTGGCTATGATTCCTCGGGAAGAACCATATTCCCTTCATTGGTTAAGTGATCATGCTGTGATCAAGGTGAATAAGCAGGTACGGATTCCATTTTCTATTGGGAAATATCAAGACGAGCTGTTGTTCGATGTCATTCCAATGCAGGCCACACACTTGGTGTTAGGACGACCTTGGCAATTTGATCGAAAGGTCTCTCACCATGGTCGGACAAACTGTTACACTCTCGAACACGGAGGAAGGAAGCTGACGCTTAAACCTATGTCCTCCGATGAAGTTCGAGCCGATCAGGAGCATCTGTCTCGAAATCGAGCTAGGAATGGCGAGGGAACAGGTAAGGACTCTCGTGAGCCTCAGCTGATGGCTCGGAAATATTTGTTGACTGTCCTAGCAGGGAAAACGATTGCCCGGAGAAGCAGAACTCGTCGCCCCTGCTCGGCGGCTGCCCTGAAGAGCACCGAATGGGGTGGAACGCTCCGCGCGGCGTTGAGTGCCACGGACGACGACATCGCGATCCCCAACCACCTAGTAACGTGTACGAACGGAGAAATCCAGCTGGAACGAGTCAAATCGAGGAATGCCCAAATTCAATTTTCGCCTTCAAACGCGACGACCGACGGGCAAATGACGAGTGAATTGGTCGTGGAGCTGGGGAAGGATTCGAACCAACCCGACCCCTGGAACAGATTGCTGGGGCTTCAAGGAAGGTGTGGGGCACGAGAAATCAGGGCGTCGACACCTGAAATCGAAACGCCCAATTTTCAATTGGGTTCGCCGGAATCTGGAAAATTTGAATTTCCAGGTGGCGGGAAATACGGCAACGGCGATTGGGGTCGACTAGGGACAATTCAAAAGCGGGAAATGGATGTAGAAGATCACTGGGAGCCAGGCGAACTCGATACAACCAGTGATTTGGGACGAGGCACTCGAAAATCAAAAGCCCCAATTCCAAAAGCCTCGCCTGAAAATCGGGCCTCACCGGAAAATAAGGTTTTGACATTGACATTTTGTGATCATGTTTGGGATGATTTTGTCGACCGTTTTGAGTGTAGGATGATTCAAGCTTTGAGGACAAAGCTTTTTAAAGAAGGGGGGCTTGATATGATATCAATTCCATCGTCATTTGTCTGTCGATTAATCGATCAAAGATGGTGTCAAGTCAACAAGAACAAAGCTGGGATTTTTCTAAGTATGGAAACAGTTTTGGGAAGCCCTCTTTGGAGAGTTGTATCTCGCAATTGGTTCAATAGAAATGGGCGAATGAGCACTTGTTGTGAACCTGGGATGTTTTTATACATGTTGGAGTGCTTGGATCGACAAGGGGAAGCCAGGAAGAGGGTGAACCAAGGTCGTCAAAATGCTGTCATGAAACTGGAAATCTGCCAGTTTTTGACTAAGGCAGAAAGGGTGTTTGAGATAGTGACTTTGAAGCCCAGTTTCATGAGCATGGGAGAGAATCGTCCTCGAGGCTTCAGACCACATGAATGTATGTTTGTTGTTCTACAAAGACATGGCATTGGCTAGAGGATTGCTTACCTGGAAGGCTTCCATCGAAGGGCATGAAGATGGGAGGAAAGGCTGTTTCCTGGACAGCTTGCTTAGCGTGCAAGTTTTGGTGATTGGTGTTAATTACTTTCCTTGTTGCACTTGAATTCGTTTTTATTGTTTTAATAGGATTAGGTTTTGTTATTTTGGCTATAAATAGCTTTGTTCATCCATTGTAAAGAACACGTTATCATTGAATTGAACAAAAGTTACTCCGAGGAGTTTTTGAGCACGAGTGCTTGAGTTTGGTCTTGGATCGAGATCCTAGACTTGCAGACTTCGAGATCAAACCCACCACCCTTGATCTCGTAGTATTCTTCTACCCAAACCAGCCTCTTCCCCTTCGTGTTGAAGTTGCTAGCTTGGTTCGTTTTATCCGCCAAAACCTCTATTCGACTATTCCGAAATCCATCATCACACTACCATTCTTGCTTCACTGCGTGATTGAGAGTTCAAGTTCCGAGTTGGCTCGCATCATTGGAGATATATAAGGTATGTTTGAAGCAGTGCCATTACTATATTCCCTTTCGAATACGAGCTTTAGTGAGGCGTCTTGGTACACGATTTTATAGTAAAGGTGGGATAACTGAGGAGTTGCAAGGCTCGACTGGTTCCTTTTACGATCAGCCTGATCTAAACTATCTTTTAATCTTGGCAAAATACACTTTTATAGCAAAAAATTCCACGTCTGTGCCAATAATAGCCAATTTTGAAGAAATACCACTTATAGCTAGTTTTTTAAGTTTTTGTGGACAAATATAGCCATTTCCGTCAGATACTTTAACGATGTTAATAACACCGTCAACTTATTTGACGGTTCGCTGAGTAGGCGCCAAATCAGCAGACACATCGGCGCCAAATAAGCAAACAGTGATACGTTAACGCCAAATAGCGCGACAAATCATCATATCACTACCACGTCATTTCGAATTATAAAAATAATTAATTTTAAAAATAAAATAAAAATAAAAATATTTTTTTCTAATTTTTTCCTATTCCCTATCAATCGTCTTCCTCCTCCATGGCGACAGAATAGATTCGGGAAGATCCCGCTTCCTCCTCCACCGCAAACCCCCCTGCAGCATTTGCCAATGAAAAGAGAGGCTTTCTCTAGTCTATCCCTCTCCCTCTCCTTCAAGTGACCACTCCTCATTTTCTTCCTTCCTTCTTCTGTGGCCACATCACCTTTCACAATTTCAATTTCAAATAGGGATTAAAGTCTAGACAATCGGCAACGCAGAAGGTAGGGGGATTCCGCGGAAGGACACTCATTTCGGAAGCCTCACCAGGCGAGCAAGGTAGAGCCTCACCAGCAACCGATTCAAGAGTCATCATCCGGCGATTTATTGATTTCGGCTCCAAGCGGCAGTCAGGTCACCATGGATGTGGCGCCTGCTTTTGACTCGTAGATCGGAGCCTTGCGAAAACAAAAACAAAAGAAATAAAGACATGGAGGGGATCATCGACGCAGTAGGCATATATTGCGAAGGAAGGGATGAGCTGGGGAAGAGGAAGAAAGCGTATTCAGAACGGCTGCTGCGACGATACGAGGAGGGGATGCGAAGTCACTCGAGAGGAATGAATCTTGCGGCGGTGGCGGTGGTGGTGACGAGCTGTGGTGGGGCAGCGGATGTAGGTTGGCCGGCGGGAGGAGTGAGGTATGTTGAGGAGAAGAAGCAGAGATTAGAATAGGGAGCGTGCGATTTTTTTTCGTTGGTTTATTATTATTTTATATTTTATTTGATTAAAAAATATTAAAGAAATTCCACATAAGTATTATTAGTTGTCACGTCATCATTTCTGTTAGTTCACTCAATCCGTTAGATGACACCGTCAAAGAATTAGACGGAATTGGCTATAAGTGTCATTTCTTCAAAACTGGCTATTATTGGCATAAACGCGAAAGTTTTGGCTATACAAATGTATTTTGCCTTTAATCTTTGTTGAAAGAAAGATTGTGATGTATCTCCGTGATGGCGAAGAGTTATTATCGGATGGCAAGATTGATACCCCATACAAGGTATTAATATTGCAGAACTTTATTTTGCTCAAAATGGGGACACGTTGTTTATCGTTCACGGCGGATACCCGCCTCATCAATTGTCAGTGGAGGCGAGAACATGGACTTATAAGCCCGTACCGTTTCAACAATCCCCGATGTTAGGAATGACAATCATAAATGAGAAGCCCACCCCAGATATATCGGTGCATATCCCCCAAGGCGGAGAGGTTTCGGTACTCGTTTATGCGAGTGGTGATATATTCAAGTTATCCGATGTTGGTAGGGATTTTCACTGTGGGTGGTATATTCCTCATTGGAAACAATCAACCAAGTATCCTAAAGGGGCATTTGTCATAAGAACCACCAGCGAGGGCGAGAACAAGACCGATAATAAAGTTTTTAAATGCGTTCAAGGCGGAGATTCTGAGTTGATTGGCAAGCGACCAATTCGATTCAACAAAAGACAGGAGAATGTATTTGGGAGGTTGAGAAAGGTAAATCTGGGGTACATATCGTGAGATGGGCAGCGGGAACTATTGCTGAGGTGAAAACTTCACGTCTTGTTTTGCTCAAACTCCGTACTCCAATCCAAGATGATACTCAAACACGGTTTTGGAGATTTGGAGGGGAATGGAAGAGGGTTATCCTCCACTCGTTGCATTCCATGAGGATAGGTTGGTTTTCGCTGGCAATGATGCTGAGACTCAATCAATCCAGTTCTCCGAAGTCTCAAACTATACGAACTTCTCAATCACTGATGAGACAGGAGATGTACAACCTCAGTTGTCATTCAGCATTCGCCTAAGCTCTATCAATAGGCAATCCATTCAATGGATGCGGAGCATGGGAAGAGGTCTTGTCGTTGGGACAGATACGAATATCTGGTGTATTTCCCCTAACCATGAAAAGGGTAGCTTTGCTAACAATTCTTTGTCTACCAGAACGATTGCCAGTCTTAGTAGCGCAGGCACTCCGCCCGTGAGTGTTGTCTCTGCTCTTCTTTTTTCGCATGGATCGGGCCAGACCTTGCGAGCGATTATTGGCGATATCGAAAGGGGTTATCAATTTCCAGATTTGACGCTCTCAGCTGAGCATATGTTGATGAGCGGGATAAATCAGATGGCGTTTCAAGAAGATCCATACGCACTTCTTTGGATTTTAAGACACGACGGTGAGCTTGTCGGGTGTACTTTTGATCCAGAGAATGAAGTTTTAGCATGGCATACGCATTCTCTAGGAGGCAATGCAAAGGTTCATTCAATGGCGAGCTTTATTCACAGTGCGAGTGGACAGAGCGAGCTTTGGCTTTTTGACTCGTCTCGAATATCACAATAAAATCCCACCTAAGGCCCAAGTATAAACCTTATATGGGTGCAATATAGGGCAAGTATGTTTAAATATCAACCCGGGCCGGTCCATGTAACCCTACTTCAATTGTTTGAAACATTATCTAGCGGATTTGTTTTTGGTTGAAAACTATAAGGATAAAATTAAAACAAAGCAAGGTAAATGGTTTGAAAGCTCTAGATGAGAAGGATCACTCGGGTATTGCTTCCCCCTAACCACTACCTTAGCACGTGGAATCGAATGGACCATTGTGGGAGAGTGACACGCCAAAACACAACACCAATCTGCGACCAAGTGTAATCGCAGACCGGGAATGCAGTAACAGGCAAGTTATATTATCAACCCGGGCTCTAGATCTACTGCTTACTCAGTGATTCTCTGTTATCTAGCCAACTGGAGTAAGTGATTGTTGTTTAAACTAAAAGCAGAAATAAAGCAGGAAATTATTCGGTTTTCTTAAGCAGGAAAGAGTCACTCGGGAATGAATCCCCCTAGCTCTTTAGTTAGGTTTCAATTGCAATTTACCCTGGGTTGATTTACTGTTGATTAGACTGCGGAAGATCCGGCAGTAGCTTGGAATCTCTTAAGCTGACCAAGCCCTCTCAGTCTAACTACCCGGCAGACGACTAGTCTTCACCGGGATAGAAAGCTGAAGCAGTAAGAACAGAAATTCACTACTGGAATTAGATTCCAGTACAAAGCAGTAAATTGATTGACTCTCGCACAACCAATTCACCACTATCAATCAAGGAAGCTCTCTTAACCTAATCAGATTCTATCTATCATAGGTTAAAGCAGAAATCAAGAGAATTTGATCAAGATTCAATTGACTCAATAAAGCATGTCTCAATCGATTAAAACCAAACAGTAATATCATCCCAAGTCATTACAATCAATCCCTAACACATAGAACTAGGGTTCTTCATCCCTAAGTGAGAGAAGGGTTCTACTCCATAGAGAGAGAAGAGAAAACAAGAATCGGATTAGTCATACTCATAACGATGAGGATAATCTGCTCCGGGACGATGATTTTCACTCCTATGACGATCTCCAGGCTCGATTCGATGAAATCCAGCTCTAAGACAGCTTCTAGGATGTGTTCTTCGTACTTTCTCTCTCTAGGGCTCTGTTTTTGCTCTGAAAACACTCTTTTTTCACTTCTGGCTCGGATTAGGCTTTAAAACCGGGTTTTCCCGAGTTGCACGGCCAGGGTGCACGGCCGTGCACCTCACCATTCTGGCCGTGCACCATGAAACGCAGCGTATCCCTTAATTGAACTCAGGCTTCTTGCACGGCCAGGTGCACGGCCGTGCAATCTTCAGGGCTTGCCCGTGCAGCTCCTCGGCATGAGGCGCACGGCCAGCTTGCAACCGTGCACGGCCGTGCAGCCCCTCTGGTCTGCCCGTGCAGCTCCCAAAAACCTCGCCATTCGTCCGTTCTTCGTCCAATCGACCCCAGACTCGCTCCTAAGCCTTCATTCACGTACTAGGACCTGAAATATGACAAACAAGCACAACCTAGCGTGAAATCGGCCTAAAACACGAGAAATCACATCTCAAACGGTGTAAGAACAGGGGTAAAAACATGTGTAAATAACGTTCTATCAAACTCCCCCACACTTAACCGTTTGCTTGTCCCCAAGCAAACCAAGTCAGACACTAGGTAAGCCTACACATTTCAATCAACCAATATTGGGGACAAGTCATAAAGGCACAGAACACGTGAATCGCACTGGTTTTCAAACATCAATACATGCACAACCTCAATAACAACCTGGACAACCACCACAAAGGACATTCGAGTGCAGCAAATCGAGTAAAGGAAGAGTCTCCCGTCTGTTCACTGGCCAACCTAGACTTGATTCAACCACTTACTCAAAACAGTCAACTCATGCATCCAACTCAAGACATCAGAATAGAGACCGAGCAATCTAGGTCCTCACCGGGGTACAAGAGCATATAGAAAATGAAAATGAATCACTCACTCTCGACCAGTGGGGTCAGGACAATTTGATGCGAAAGATGCGCATGCTATTTCTCTCAATCCCTATCATCTCTTCACCATGATGGTAGCCTCTAAATGCTAGAGTTCACATATGGGGTGTCATCACTAACTAATCAGGAGGTCTTAGACACAGGTTCAAATGACTGGCTAGGGTCTTGGACATGGGGAAAAGGCCTTTTTGGTGGTGGAAGTATTCATAGCAAAAGGTTCCACATTTCCCAAACACACAATCACAGTCAAACAAACCGGTATTTTCTTTCTGCTATTCTGCATTACTCAATATCTTAAGAACACAAGAGCGAAGGAGGCATAAACATCAGCATTTCCAAGCCAGACTGCTAAGAAACACTACTTACTGGGCATTATTCAGATTTTTGGTAGTGGCTCTCTTTTACTTTCAATTTTTTTTCTTTGTTTCACTTTCATTTTTCTTTTCATTTCTTAAGAGAGCCACCACTCCTGCACATATTTCAAACATCCGCCCAACTTTTAAGCACTACCTCTAACACTCACATAGACTTTAGCAGAAACAGCAGAGAATATATAAAAACCACTCTGTGGAACCTTCTAAAAGATGCAACAAGGGTGATTTCTTTTCATTATAGACCAAAAGAAAGGATAACACACGGCTCAAAGGGGCTGACTAGGGGATATGACACATCAGGACAGTCAGTTTTGGGCGTGGGCTAATCCTATGCCCCCATCATCTCAGCTAGTGACAACGTGAATGCTACACATCATGGAAGAGGGATCTATCGCACAAGAAAGAAACGAGCAGGCTCAAATCTCACATGGCTACCTATATGCTCTATCTCATATTCTGATACCCTGAACTAGATGCATAAACGACTGTTAAGAACAAGTAATCAGATCAAGTCAGATCAAGTCACAGTTGGCAAGCAAACAGTTGAAAAACTGAACCCCTACATCGTTCTACTGCACATCTCAGTCCTCATCATAGGTTGTCCTAGTCGCAAACAAGTTGTCATGCATTAATCCGAAAACCAATCAATTCATCCATCAAAACACAGTGCCAATATGATCAAACAGCAGTACTTGGAGCCCTCAAATCGTAAGATTCGGACAGCGGACTAGGCTCCAAGCACCATCATAAATATTCCAACCGATACAAAGCATCCCCCCACACTTAAGAACGACATTGCCCTCAATGGAGCAGAGGGAAAGATAAGGGGAACGATGTTACCGGGTAGGAACACTGCTGGGGGACTGGAAGTGGACCAGTCGGCGAGAAACGAACGGGAGAGTGGACAATGCTGCACAAATCGAACATCAGAAACACACTAGCACACTGTGCGTTAGGGATAAGTGTTAGCCCAGACGGCTACATCAAACCACAAAGGAAAAAACCAAAAACAAAAACAAACGACACTAAGTTCAAGCTCCGCACACATGGAGCAAACACACAAAAGTCTAAAATGAAAAAGAAAACACACTGAGACGGGCAACGAGTACAGCCTACTCGTCGCCAAGATCGTCGAGGTCGATGTCGTTCATGAACGCGTCATCATCCGCAGCGCCAGTAGCACCGTCATGTGGAGGGGAGTCATCCCAGGGAGTCCTCCAGACAGGTGGCTCGCCCGGGAGCAGCTGGAGCAAGTGCTGCTGGACCTCCTGCATGCGCCGGGAACGGCGCTTCTCCCGCTCGATGTGGGCAAGAGTCACGCCCTGCTGGGTCTGGAGCTGGTCCAATCTCTCGTCGTAACTCGCCATCCTCTGGTGGTACGCGGCCTGGTGAGCCGCGTACTGCTGCTGGAACTGCAGCTGATGGTCGATGATCTGCTGGTTCTGGAGACGCAGCTGCTCGAACTGGGAAGTGAAGTAATCCTGCCCCGGGAAACTGGAGCTGCTACCCCCGAAATGAAAGTCAGTCTGTGGGGGATTATCAGCAGCATCAGCAGCAGCATCCACCTCCTCGGGATCCACCTCATCGGCAGCCTCCTCCTCCTCTGGTACGGGCTCCGGAAACCCATCGACCCATTGAACACCGTTCCTCTCCCGCAACAGCAGCATCTTCCCGATCGTCGTGCGGCCAAAGATGAGGGTGTCCCCCTCCTCGGTGCACCCCTGCAGTGAAAGGCCAAAGAAGGTGGCCAGGCGGGTGATGAGGGGGGCGCAGTGGAGGCTCTTCAGCTCTGTGGCCGTCTTCTCGAAGGTCTTGGCCACCACTGAACCCAGGTGGAGAGGATGGCGGCGCTGGCGGATCGAATGGAGGAAGTACAGGGACCTCTTCGTGATGGCGCCGGCGCTGTCAGCTGCAGGAGTGTAAGACTTCGCCAGCAGGTGGTGGAGAAGTCTGTTGTCGATCTGCAGGGTAGAGGCCTTCGTCCTCCCTGACCGGAAGGGACGCGTCTGGCCTGGCCGAGCCAGGCTGGTGTACAGCCTCCCGAAGTCCACCGCCGGTGGCTCATTCACCTCGGTGACGTAGTCCTCACGGTTGTCGAGGTCGAGGTCGAGAGCCTCGGCCAGCTCGTGGTAGCTCAAGGACCGGGGGACCCCGCCCAGCCTGAATTGGACGGCCGTACCATCCTGCCAGTTGTCCGTGGTATTGTGCTTGAAGGTCGTGTAGAACTCCCACACCGGCTCGTAGTAGACCTTCTCGCAGAGCTGGAGCAGACGGCGCCAGGCGGTGTTGGCGACCGCGGCGGAGAGCTGCTCGTAGCAGTGCAATCGCCGAAACTCGCGTTTTGACCAGCAATGGTGTGACCCAAACGGGGTTTTCGCGACCTCCTTGAAGCGCTCTGCGGTGGGTCCCCTCCTCAGATCCCGGATGAACGGGTGCTGGAAATTAGGTTTCGCCATTGCCCTGCAAAACAACAACCCAAAGTGGAACCCAAAAGAGCCAAAGAAAAAGGTCAAGCGCACCCCCACACTTAAGAACAGAAAACAGCCTAACCATGGTTTCATCCATAGTTCGGGGGTCAAAATCTCGATAAATCAAGCAGAATCAGGGTGGGGGTGCACATTCACAAGAAAATAGGCAACTCAAGGTTCACATCCATAGCAAATACACCCTCAAACTACATCATTAAGGGCCCCAACCGGTGGCCACAACAGGGCATGGAAAACAGGCATTTCAGCGAACACCTTGTGTGCACTACTAGGTTAAACATGAAATTGGCCAAATTCTTGCACACAAGGGCTTAAACAATCAAAGGGGACTTTGCCCAACATAATTCAATCACATCCCATGCATTCCCCTCAATCAATTTCATAAGATTCACATGATTCAATAAGGTTCTCTAACATACACCCTACACACTCAATTCTCCACAATTAACATAGTTAGGGGCAAAATCAAACCTGGAGACTCAAGTAGAGGTGTAGGGAATGATGAGGGGAAGACAATGGAAGTGACGAAACGCCGAAAAACTGGCCGGAAATGCTCGTCGGAGTCTCGCCGGAGTCTCGCCGGAAATCGCCTCCGGCGACGAAAACGTCGCCCAAACTCGCTCAAAATCGAGGGATAGGCCGCTTTGGGTGTAGAAAGAGTGGGTTTGTAGTTGGTTTAGTGAAAAAATTACCCAAAGTGGCCGAAAAAATCGAAAAAAGGTGGGTTTTGCGCGGTTTTCTGGCGAGGGCAGAGGATTCCGGCGAGTGGTTTTGGTTTTCTTACCACAATGGCCGTGCAGGCCATATAAATAGGCCGTGCCTAGGCTGCACGGGCAGGGGCGCACGGCCGTGCAAGGCTGGTTTTTTGCCCGTGCAGACGACACGGCCTGGCCGAAGAGGGGCGCACGACCGTGCACCTGGCACATATGGCCGTGCCATCCTTACCGAGAGCTCGCACGGCCAAGGGGGGATACCCGCACGGCCATGCGAGGCATTATGGTGCCCGTGCAAGACGCACGGTCAGGCCAGGACGGGCGCACGGCCGTGCAATAAGCGCTTTTGGCCGTGCGCTTTTGGCCGAGAGCTCGCACGACCAAGGGGGGTGCCCGCACGGCCGTGCAAGTTGTGGTCCTGGCCGTGCGACTTGTTGGAGTCCCGAAATCACCTGTTTTCGCTCAAAAACGACACGTAACTCTGGATCAACGTCTCAAGACTCAAAAACACACAAAATCAAAGGAAAAAGAGTAAGAAAATGCAAACCTCGGTGGGGTTGCCTCCCCACAAGCGCTTCTTTACCGTCTTTTAGCTGGACGCCAGTATGGATGCTCAGGGAAGTGTAGGATCAGGTGCCTTCAAGAGCGGATCCACATCGCTCTTGAGGTACAGCTTCAAATGGTGGCCATGCACGCGACGAATGTGGCCACCTGCATTCGCCAGCTCAACTTGGCCATCCGGTAGGATGCAAGCGAGTGAATACTCGGATGGCCAAGGAGGGGGCGGGACCAGCTCATAGTGGTCTCCGGCTTCCTTTCGAGCAGGCTTAGCTGCCGGCAGTTTCGGCCGCCACTCCTCCTTGATCTGTTCTTTGGGTGACGGAGTGGTCCGGAGTGGCGGCGAAGGTGTGGGAGGCGGTTCCTGCAAAATAGGCACCACAGAAGGATACACGACAGACTCGTGCTCCTGGTGAGATACAGCATGCAGAGGTGACGAAGCCGGTATATTATCAGCAACAGAAAACGTTATTCGCTCCTCGCCATCCCTCAAAACTAAGGTCCCATCATGCACATCTATGAGAGCCTTGGCGGTGGCCAGGAAAGGCCTTCCCAGTATAAGAGGCACTTCTGTGTCCTCACTGATGTCCAAGATAACAAAATCCACGGGATATGTGAATTTGCCAACCTTAACCAGAAGGTCTTCCACTATACCTCTAGGATGCACTACAGATCTGTCAGCTAATTGAAGGGTCATCCTAGTAGCACGGGGTTCACCTAGGCCTAGTTTCATGAACAATTTATATGGAATAACATTGATACTAGCACCTAAATCCGCCAAGGACTTCTCTACATGCAATTTATCAATAGAGCACGGGATAGTAAAACTACCTGGGTCCTTCTTCTTCTGCGGAAGCTTGTTTTGCAGAATAGCCGAGCATTCCTCGCTGAGCTCTACCGTGGCCAGCTCACTCAGCTTCTGCTTCTTTGAGAGAAGCTCTTTCAGAAACTTCGCATACTTGGGCATTTGCGATAGTGCCTCCAGGAAGGGCACTTGGACATTCAGCTTCTTAAGCATGGCGATGAAGTTCTCGAACTCTGCCTCCAGCCTGTCTTTGTGCAACCGAGTAGGGAAAGGGAGTTTAGGGACATACTCCTTCACTACTGGTTGCGGTTTAGGTGCAGGCACCTCAACTTCCTTCTCTACTTCCTGTTCAACCGCTGGAGCCGCTAAGACAGGGCTTTCTTTCTCCGGTTCCCGAGCAGGGGGATCAACAGTCATCTTGCCACTCCTGGTCATGATGGCATTGCAGCGCTCATTCGGGGTCGGCGGGTGAGGGATGGTCTGCCCTGGTAGAGTACCAGGAGCCCTTTGAGCCACTGCCTGGGCCACGCTCCCCAGCTGGGTCTGGATATCCTGCAAAACAGCCCGTGTATTCCTCTGACCAGCTTCCAGAGCCAGAAGTTGACCCGAGGCCTTCTGCATGAATTGCTCAAAGGTGTTGAATTTCTGAGCACTAACACTGGCAAGAGAACCCACCAAGTCCCGCAGTTCAGCCATCTGATCATTCTGCACTGGGGCAGCAGGGGCTGCACCTGGCTGCTGGAATTGCCCCTGTCTGGGCTGATATGGTGGCCTCTGGAAGCCCGGTGGTCCCTGTGGAGCTGGTGGTCTGGGATTTGGCCCAGTCCAGGAGAAGTTAGGATGCTGGCGCCACCCCTCATTGTACGTGTTGCTGTAGGGGTCATTGCGCCTGACATTGTTGATGAAGTTCACCTGCTCCTGGGGCGTGGTCGATTCCTTCATCGCCTGGCAGTCTTCCACCATATGATGGGTGCTCTCGCACCACTGGCAGAGCATCGCCTGCTGCTGTCCGGTCCCTGGAATCATCCCGGAACGATCGATAGCTGAGACCAGCTTCGATACTACCTGCACCAAATCGGATGACTGGGTGCCCACAGCATGCACACCCCGGCCTGGTGCTCTCCTCGATCTCCTGGCAGTGCCCCAATCATAACCATTCTCCGCCATCTCTTCAAAGAGTTGATTCAGCTGTGGCGGGGTTTTGGTCAGCATGTTCCCGCCACAAACCGAATCGATCAGCTGCTTGTCCTCCGGGAAGAGGGCGTGATAGAAGGTGCCCACCTTGAACGCATCGTTGAAACCATGATTGGGACACCTGAGGAAAAGACTGTTGTACCTCTCCCATGCATCCCTGATGGTCTCATCCTCATCCTGAGCAAAATGTGTAATTTGCTTCTGCAGGTCAGCTGTCTTGGATGGAGGATGGTAGCGGGTGAGGAACTTGTCCGCCAGGTTGGCGAACGTGGTGATGGAGCCCGGAGATCGAGTGTCTAGCCACTCCTTGGCCTGCCCCTCCAGAGTGAATGGGAAGTACCTCAGCTGGATGGCATCTGCTGGTACCCCATTGATCTTGATTCCATCGATGAGCTCGTGGAATCGCCTGAGATGTGATCGAGGGCACTCTCCCTCCTTACCACGGAACACTACTGAACCGCGCAGCATGGTGATCACGGAGGTGCTCACCTCAAAGTTGTTGGCTGGGACATGAGGATGCTGAATGGGTGACCTCATGTCCGCAGCTCTAGCGGTCCAGTAGGATCCCATGGTTTGCTCCTCAGGGATCATATCATGGTTCCCTGGTTCAGCCATCTCTTCTTCTTCCTCCTCTAACCTCGGCTGTGATAGCGCCTCCTCCGCAGCCAGTCGCGCCTTTAGAGCCCGCTTGAAGTTTCTGCAGGTTCGTTCAAGCTCCTGGTCTAGTGGTAGTAGATCTCCCGACTGGCTACGGGTCATGCACTACCTGCACACAATCAGCAGAAACAACCCGTGAAGGCACACAGGTGGAAGAAATAAAAAGCAGAAAATAAAAGCTAGAGTAACAAATTCTCACGTTTCCCCAATAACCTAGAGGGTCCCCGGCAACGGCGCCAAAAACTTGACACGCCAAAACACAACACCAATCTGCGACCAAGTGTAATCGCAGACCGGGAATGCAGTAACAGGCAAGTTATATTATCAACCCGGGCTCTAGATCTACTGCTTACTCAGTGATTCTCTGTTATCTAGCCAACTGGAGTAAGTGATTGTTGTTTAAACTAAAAGCAGAAATAAAGCAGGAAATTATTCGGTTTTCTTAAGCAGGAAAGAGTCACTCGGGAATGAATCCCCCTAGCTCTTTAGTTAGGTTTCAATTGCAATTTACCCTGGGTTGATTTACTGTTGATTAGACTGCGGAAGATCCGGCAGTAGCTTGGAATCTCTTAAGCTGACCAAGCCCTCTCAGTCTAACTACCCGGCAGACGACTAGTCTTCACCGGGATAGAAAGCTGAAGCAGTAAGAACAGAAATTCACTACTGGAATTAGATTCCAGTACAAAGCAGTAAATTGATTGACTCTCGCACAACCAATTCACCACTATCAATCAAGGAAGCTCTCTTAACCTAATCAGATTCTATCTATCATAGGTTAAAGCAGAAATCAAGAGAATTTGATCAAGATTCAATTGACTCAATAAAGCATGTCTCAATCGATTAAAACCAAACAGTAATATCATCCCAAGTCATTACAATCAATCCCTAACACATAGAACTAGGGTTCTTCATCCCTAAGTGAGAGAAGGGTTCTACTCCATAGAGAGAGAAGAGAAAACAAGAATCGGATTAGTCATACTCATAACGATGAGGATAATCTGCTCCGGGACGATGATTTTCACTCCTATGACGATCTCCAGGCTCGATTCGATGAAATCCAGCTCTAAGACAGCTTCTAGGATGTGTTCTTCGTACTTTCTCTCTTTAGGGCTCTGTTTTTGCTCTGAAAACACTCTTTTTTCACTTCTGGCTCGGATTAGGCTTTAAAACCGGGTTTTCCCGAGTTGCACGGCCAGGGTGCACGGCCGTGCACCTCACCATTCTGGCCGTGCACCATGAAACGCAGCGTATCCCTTAATTGAACTCAGGCTTCTTGCACGGCCAGGTGCACGGCCGTGCAATCTTCAGGGCTTGCCCGTGCAGCTCCTCGGCATGAGGCGCACGGCCAGCTTGCAACCGTGCACGGCCGTGCAGCCCCTCTGGTCTGCCCGTGCAGCTCCCAAAAACCTCGCCATTCGTCCGTTCTTCGTCCAATCGACCCCAGACTCGCTCCTAAGCCTTCATTCACGTACTAGGACCTGAAATATGACAAACAAGCACAACCTAGCGTGAAATCGGCCTAAAACACGAGAAATCACATCTCAAACGGTGTAAGAACAGGGGTAAAAACATGTGTAAATAACGTTCTATCAGAGAGGCAATCGCAAACCGCTAGGAAGTGCAACTATGGTCGAAGACCACACTCTCGATTGCCAAACCAAGGGATACATTATAGGCTACTAAAGTAGCCCTCTCGGTTAAGGCTATTGAGGGTTGACTAACTCTCTCCCTCAAATCAATGGTTGGACGGCTTAATTACGATTAACCTAGGACTTTAATTCAAGATATAGGTTTGCCCTACATTAACCTAGGTAGGTGGCTTGATAACCCCAAGAAATCCCAACTCAATTTAGCCACTTTGGAAAGGGGGGTTTTCCCTCTAACCTAGGTTAGAATGGCCATTTGGATTGCCAAGTACAAACATGCACAATCATCATGAAAAATACCTCAATCATTAAATTAAACAACACCCATAAACAATCATTCAATTCACACAGCAACTACATGGCAAATAGTTAGGGTTTCACAACACCCAAGTGAAAAAGGAAACTACTCCATGCTAGAACGGGGAAGAACACAAGAGAAAGAAGTAGAAACCATCATGGTGATGCCTCCACTCTCCTTGGATCTTGTGTTGATCTTCTCTTAGGGAGATTCTTTCCAATTCACCACTTGGAGCAAACCCTAGCCTCCCTTCTTCTTTGGTTCGTTCTTTCTCTCTCTAAAATCTGAAGAAGAAGACACTTTCTCACCCTTGGAATCCCCCTTCTCTCTTCCTTTCAGCCCACATTTTTATACTAGGATTGGGCTCAGTTCACGACCGAGAACTCCTTAACGCGTCCATGAACTCGGCGTGCTGCGTCAAAACGCACTGCTTCACTCACTTGGGTTCACGGCTAACAGCTCCAGTTCACGGTCTTAGTGACCGTGAACTCACTCGGCGTCAGTAACCTATGAAACCTCCTTGGATGCTTCATGGTTCACGGTTTATGGTTCTAGTTCACGGCCTTAGGAGACCTTGAACTCCAATGGGAAACCATGAACATGACCAAAATCACTCATTTTTCCTGGTCTTTGCTCCTTTTCTTCCAACTTTCGACTCTAGGGCTGGTTTCACCTGTTAGATCCTGAAACACACTGAAACACAAGAAACTTAGCACAAAACCATCCTTTTAGGAGCAAAAATGCCACAAACGCCCAAGGGAAACGGGGATAAAATGCGTACAATTAGGCCCGAATCACTACCCTACACTTAGACGTTTGCTTGTCCCCAAGCAAACCATTTTACACAAGGTAATATCTCAACCTAACAAAATACATTGGGGACAACTCAAAGGGCACCAATTGGGAATTCTCAATGGCTATTGGCAGTTAATACATGGACCGTTGCAAGCAATACTAACATCCACCACAAACGACATTCGGGGCCACCAAAAACGAGCAAACGAAAAGTTCTCACCTTGTTCATGGATCAATGCAAGTCTAAACAAGATCACTTACCAACTACAACTAACCATGCATAATATTCATGTCCGACAAACAAATGAAAGGGCAACAAAGGTCCTCACCGGGATATGATATGACATGCAAAACAATAATGAATCACTCACTCTCTTGACCAGTGGGGTCAGGACCATTTGGTGCAAAAGATGTACACATTCATCAACACTCGACCCTATCGTCTCAATACCACGACGGTAGCCTCTAAAGCCTAGAATTCACTGGATGGTTATCATCACTAGCTTGTCCGGAGGTCTTAGAAATGGGTTCAAATAACTGGCAATTGTCTTGGACATGGGGAAAAGGCCTTTTGGATGGTGTCAAATACAACACGAGGTTCTACATCTTTCAATCTAAACCTGAAAGTTCTATGGGACCGACTAAGAACCTTTTCTACAACAATGGCCACTAGGCCTTACTTCTCGCTTCCAAACTATCACCCATCATGAACTACATTTAAGCGCTCTTCCTCGGTCTACTCTTGCTATCACATTTCAATTTGGTAGTGAAGGAGTTCTAAAACAATGTGGGGGTCTCAATGGCTTGAGTGCTAAGAAACCCCTCCTAGAGCATACACTTTAGTTTTTGTGGCACTCTCTATTTTATTTACCCCGTTTTATTACCTCTTTTTCGATTCCTTTTCTTTCCTACTTTCTTTTCTTTTCTTTTTCTTTTTGAGGGGGGTACTAGAGATTAAAACACTTGCAACCTTTACATTTAATGAACAATGCTCTCTTTTTAAGAACTCGCTCCAACACTACACTTCTTTTTTTCATTCCTAGCAAGAACTGCACACAATCCCCCTATGTAGAACCTCAACGGAACTAAAAAACTAGAGCTCTGGGACACAAGGAAAACTCATGTATAGACACGAATAAAGGATTGGGGGTCGTTCTATATACACCATTAATCTCACAAGAGAAAAGCTCCTAACACGAGAACAACCCTAGAAGTCACAAGGCTCAAAGGGCTTGACTAAGGGATAACACATTTCGGGACAATCAACATTTGGGTGTGGACTAATCCTATGCCTCCATCATACTGACTAGTGACAACTGTGATGTTACTCGCCATGGTAAGAGGGATCTAAGCATAGAAGAAGAAAATGATTCAAAGCTCACATGGCTACCTAGTCACCCAACTATCTATTCCAATTCACAAAACACAATGCATGGCAATTGTAATCAACAAGTAATCGAGTCAAGACATCCATTCATTTATGCACTCATGAGAACTAAACCTTTGCACTATCCTAATGGACCTCTCAGTCATCATCATAGGACATACTCGATCACATGCAACAATTCAAGGTTAAAGTCAATAGACACGAGATTTTCCCACAAACCGGCCACTTTGATCATGCAAACATTGTTTGGAGCCCTCAAAATTATCAAATTTGGGCATATATCAAGGATCTAAGCATCAATCACACTCACAAAAGAATAATAATAAGCTACCCCCCCCCCTCTCCCACCCACACACACTTAAGCTCGACATTGCTCTCAATGGCGTAAGATAGGGATAGAACGATATTACCGCTTTGCTTGGTGCGTGAAGTTGGAATTGTTTCCACGGTAGGAGATTTGGAGCTTCAAGGAGAAGACAAAAACACACATACAAAAAACACTATATGATTCGCGCAAGGCGAGGTTATTGATTCGGGCCCAAATGTACACATTTTACCCCTCATTTCTTATTCATTTAGCTTAGCATTTCATTGTTACTCGACATATTTCACGCTAGGTTGTGCTTGTTTTGATAGATTTCAGGTCCTAGCACGTGTGGAAGGGTCGAGGACAAGACCGTGACAATTGCCCCGTAATAGTGAACTGAAGGCGGCGGCCAGGAAACAGCCGCAGTTCACGGTCTCCTAAGACCGTGAACTTGGACCACAAACCGTGAACATCGAGGCGTCCAGCGAGGTTCCAGAAGTTACTGATGACAGGGGAATTCATGATCTCTAAGACCGTGAACTGGGGCCATTTACCGTGAACCCAGGAGAGTGAAGCAGTGCATTTTGGACGACACTGAGTTCACAGACGCGTTTAGGTGTTCACGCCCGTGAACTGGCCAACGCGTCCGTGAACTAATCACTTTCAGGCAAATATGAAGACATCAGCGTGGGGAGAGAAAGATGAGAGCTGGTTTTTGGAGAGAAATTCAATTCCCTCTCTAGGGTTTGCCCAAAACACCAAAGAGGGTGTTCTAGAGGGAGAGAGAGTGCTAGAGTGATCTTGGAGCATCATTGGAGGCTTGGGTGGATCTTGAAGACAATGATTCAAGCCTAGAAGAAGAAGAAGAAGAAGAAGAAGATGTTGAGCTCAAATTTTTAATCTCTCCTCTCTCTCTAGAAACTCATCTTTTCTCTTGGGTGTTGTAGATCCCTAACTAATTCTTTGTAATTACTTGTTTAGATTGAATGATTTCGTATGGGTTTGCATCAATTTGAGTGTTAGAGGTGTTTTCATGGTGATTGTGCTTAGTTGTGCTTTCCAAATCTTGTCTGCTTGCCTAACCTAGATTAGAGGAAAACCACACCTTTTTAGGTAGGCTTGACAAGCTTGGTTTGCCTCGGAACTTAGTGCCTACTATCTAGGTTAGAGATAAACATCCCCCCTTGACTCAAGTTTGCATCTAGGTTGATTGTGATTAAGCCGCTCAAACTCCGGTTTGAGGGAGGGACCTAGGAAACCCCTAGTGACTAAGTGAGAGGATTGATCCCGTGACAAATCGATCTCTAGTGAATCCATGCCGTGACAAATGGATCACTAGTTGCTCCTCCTAGCGGTTCACCCAGACTTGGTGAGTGGATCGATCCCGTGACAAATCGATCGCTAGTGATTTGATTCCGTGACAAATTGATCACTAGTTGCTCACTAATGACTCGATATTTGCACATGTTTTCCCCTTTGTTTCTTGATCGTTTAAGCTTGAATTATTTCTTCTTTGGCCTATTTTACGCTAAGTTGTGTTCCTTTGTCACATTTCAGGTCCTAGCACATAAAGTGAAGCGTAGAAGCAAGTTTCAAGTCAATCGGAGATCAATTAGCGACTCGGGGGAAGAAACTCGGGTATGACTTGAAGAAGAAGGGATTTATACCTCAGTTTGTGACCATATAATCATGTAATCTTGTCATGAGAAGAAAGAGGACAAGACTACAAGCGTCTGGGATCAAACGACACCTGATTTGGAGTCCGAATGAGGGAGAAATGAAGAATCAAAGATAGGGGAAAATTGGTTTCGGGCTTCTCTGAAAACAGAAGGGGGCCCTATCGTGAACCAAAAATCCCCGGTCGTGAACCAAAATCCCCGGTCGTGACCCAAAAATCCCCGGTCATGACCCAAAAAAATCCCCGTTCGTGACCTAAAATACCTGACAGGGTATTTTGACCGGGGATCGCGAACGCAGGCTGTTAAAAGCCTGTTTTGTTTTTTTTTGCAAGGGAGAGCAGGGTTTTGGATCCCAAACACCCAAGGGACGAACCAAAGAGAGAGAGAGGGCGATTTGAGGGCATTCTAAGAGTGTAATTGGAGGATTTCTTTGCCTTGAAAGCTCGAGGACTAAGCCCGGACTTGAAGACTAAGCATCTGAAGATTCTTACTGCAGTCTCTCTCTTCTCTATGGAGTAACTTCCCTTCACTTAGGTTTTGAGGAACCCTAGCTATGATTGTTTGATTGGATGATTGTATGAGTACTCTTACTTGATAATCTTGAGTTCATATTCAATCTATGCATGTTTTCACGATTCAATTCTGCTTTAGTCGAGATTATTGATTCTGCTTTGATCCTATGAGAGCGAATACCTAATTAGGTCAATAGAGCGCCATAGATTGATAGTAGTGGATCGATTGCTTTAGTCGAGGGTTGATTCACTGCTTTGTATCGATTGAGAACCTCTTTCGATAGAGGGATTCTAGCTCTGAATGCCTTGATCGGTTGTGCTAGAGAAGGATACGTCCCTCTAGGCAATTGACTCAAGAGGGCCTTGTTCCTGTAGTCGAGACTCAAGGTCTAGTCAAGGATTCTCCGCATTGTGGATGAAAGTGAAACAAGTTAGAGATCATGAATAGTTAATCTGGCTAGTGGCTAGGGGGAATCATACCTGAGTGAGTTCCCAACCTGTAATTAGATTAACTTTAACTGTAGTTTGCTAGAGTATTTTTAGTTCTTTCATCTTAATCTAGTTTGCTAGATAATGAACTGAAGCTGAGTAATAGTAACTCTAGAGACCCGTGGATTCGATATTTATTACTTGAGCCACTATACTGCAGTCCCTTTCATTGGTTACACTTGGCCATTGTTAGGAGTTGTGTCATAGCAAGTCAAGTTTTTGGCGCCGTTGCCGGCGACTTTCTAGATTATTAGGAAAGGCAGGAGTTTGTTATTTTAGCGTTTTTCTTTTCTTTTCCATCCTTGCTTTTCACTTGGGTGTTTTTGTTTTTGTTGGTGCAGATCTGAATCATGGATCCTCATGGCTTCTCCAATCATTGGGGGTATCCACCACCATCCAAGTCGTATTACCTCGAGACTCCCTGGAGCAATCAAGGAGGAGAAGACTATCGATTCGGGTTCCAGTACCAACCCCCTTACTATGGAGAACAATCAGACCCCTGGGCATATCAAGAAAAACCTCATTACCAAGAAGACTTTCCCCCACAACCAGAAGGGCCATCGGAGCTGGAGTTACCCATGGCGGCCTTCACGGGCCATTCTGCAGAGCCATGCTACACTCCACAGCCAGATCCAAACTATGAATTGAGGCTTCTCATGGAGCAGTTTGCTCGAGACAGTGAGAGATCATTGTCTAGGATGGATCTTTGTACCCAGGCCTATCGTGAAACAGAGGAGATCCTCCTGAGCCTTAAGAAGAGCGTGGATGATCTTGAGCGATCTTGTGCACAACCTGATCCAGATCACCCTTCTGCTACCATACTAGAAGAGAAGGAGGAAGAAGAAGGCTACAAGGACATGGTGGAGCACACAGAAGTTGTCACGGAGAGCTCCCGTGATGATCATGATCAGGAATGTCCTGTCGTAGTCGACCACACCTTCCCACATCCCAATCTGAGCTTTGAAGAGGCGGGCATGAGTGAGGAGATGCAAGAAGATCTCATGAAAGAAATTGCTTGGCAACTTGCTCTCCAATCCGTGCTAGAAGAAGAAGAGCAAGAAAGGGTGCAGAAAGAAGTTGTGGAGGATGACGAAAGTGAAGCAGGAGGAGTTCTTTATCATTTCCCAGGGGTGATACCACATGAACAAGGAAGGGAGGTTGAAGAAGCAATTGGCGTCCAGGCCGAGGACGAAGTTGAGGTGGAAGAGGCCTGCACAGGCCATGAGTTGCAAGTAATATCCCCACCAAACTTTGAGGAACTGCTTAGCAAGGACCCATTTGCACTGTCTCTTTGCCAGACCAAGGCCACATCGACATCGGTTCCTCTTGGTGGACGCGATGGTGGTCAATCGATGTTGGTCATATCTGGTTTGGGGCAATGAGACGAGAGAAGAGAAGAAGAGGTCTCGAGGGTGGAGACTTCATCTGCATCAAGTGCCCGAGCTTCCATCTACAGTCATACCACATGCTAGTGACTTGAGATTCCACCTCATCGACGAGAACCTCAACTTCAAAGAGGTTTGGGGTGGACCAAAACTTAGGAGCCATCGTCCGGCTCACGACGTGAAAGAAGCGCTTGTTGGGAGGCAACCCAACTAGTCGGTTTGCATTTCTTTCTCTTTTTCTCCTCGGTTGAGTTTGTTTTGTTATTTGATTTTAGAGTCAATAACTCAACCTTTGTGAGATTTTGTGTGGTGTTTGTGTTCCGACTACTCTCTCCTCCTGGAATGCACCGCCTGCCCCGTCCACCATCATTCACCCTTGATCTGGTAACTTCGTTCTACCCTCCTTATCTTTCCTCCATTGAGGACAATGTCGTGCTTAAGTGTGGGGGGATGTTCGATAATGAATGCGTGTGAATGTTTGGCTGTTTGTGTGCCTGGAGCCTAGTCCACTGTCCAAATTTCGAGTTGAGGGCTCCAAGTACGTGTTCCTTGCAATTGCCTGCTCAGTATGCTTTGAATTGACAGTCTTTATAGTAATATGCAACCTAGGGAGGTAGTGTAACACTATGGAGGATGTTGATGCATTTAAGAAGTCTCCTTTCTTCTTCATATTGTGTTGGATGATTGTGTGAATTAGTGATCTTAGGACCCTTGAATTGTGTGGTGTTGTGGACTCTATACCTGTCATGGACTCCTGTATCATGTTTTGAAATAAAAGGTGCTCGATAATGTGCTTTAAAATAACGTCTCCCGTGCGAATAGGGCGAAAGTGTGTAAGGGGAGACGGGAATTCGTTCCCAATTTCCACCTACTACCTCCAGCCCTCTTACATTCTTTTCCCTGCACGAGGCTCGAGACATTCGCTCCCGGCATGGCCGGTAAGAGCCGGGTTCCCGCAAAACCTTTGCTTGGTGGGAGCCCCATTTTCTGAAAATCGGGTTGGAACCCTTGAAAAAGAGAAAAAAAAGTAAGAGAACAAAAGAAAAGGAAAAAGGGGGTTCCAACCGTCTTCAAAAAGAAAATAAGAGCACCTTGAAAAATGTGAGTCCATGATCTTTTGTTTTTGAGAGTCTCTTCATCCACGATTCATTTGTCCTCTGATCACTATTTGCCATGATGCCGACTCGAGACTAGCGTTCTCGCCGAAGAAGCTATGAGATGACTTGTGCGTCGGTTGACCTCGTAAGCTGCTAAATGATCTAGAAAATCCTCTATCAAAGATCGAGGGTGCATGTTGCTATAGAGGTCTGGAGAGCTGCATTGGTTTGAGTTAGGTTTTCTTGGGGACAAGCAAACAGTTAAGTGTGGGGGGATTTGATGACTCGATATTTGCACATGTTTTCCCCTTTGTTTCTTGACCGTTTAAGCTTGAATTATTGCTTCTTTGGCCTATTTTACGCTAGGTTGTGTTCCTTTGTCACATTTCAGGTCCTAGCACATAAAGTGAAGCATAGGCGCAAGTTGCAAGTCAATCGGAGATCAATCGGCGACTCGGGAGAAGAAACTCGGGTATGACTTGAAGAAGAAGGGATTTCTACCTCAGTTTGTGACCATATAATCATGTAATCTTGTCATGAGAAGAAAGAGGACGAGACTATGAGCGTCTGGGATCAAACGACACCTGATTTGGAGTTCGAGCGAGGGAGAAACGAAGAATCAAAGATAGGGGAAAATTGGTTTCGGGCTTCTCTGAAAACAGAAGGGGGCCCTATCGTGAACCAAAAATCCCCGGTCGTGAACCAAAATCCCCGGTCGTGACCCAAAAATCCCCGGTCGTGACCTAAAATACCCGACCGGGTATTTTGACCGGGGATCGCGAACGCAGGCTGTTAAAAGCCTGTTTTGTGCGTTTTTGCAAGGGAGAGCGGGATTTTGGATCCCAAACACCCAAGGGACAAACCAAAGAGAGAGAGAGGGCGATTTGAGGGCATTCTAAGAGTGTAATTGGAGGATTTCTTCGCCTTCAAAGCTCGAGGAATAAGCCCGGACTTGAAGACTAAGCATCTGAAGATTCTTACTGCAGTCTCTCTCTTCTCTATGGAGTAACTTCCCTTCACTTAGGTTTTGAGGAACCCTAGCTATGATTGTTTGATTGGATGATTGTATGAGTACTCTTACTTGATAATCTTGAGTTCATATTCAATCTATGCATGTTTTCACGATTCAATTCTGCTTTAGTCGAGATTATTGATTCTGCTTTGATCCTATGAGAGCGAATACCTGATTAGGTCAATAGAGCACCATAGATTGATAGTAGTGGATCGATTGCTTTAGTCGAGGGTTGATTCACTGCTTTGTATCGATTGAGAACCTCTTTCGATAGAGGGAGTCTAGCTCAGAATGCCTTGATCGGTTGTGCTAGAGAAGGATACGTTGTTACACCCCGACTTTTGGGTTAGGTTCAATCCATCATAGATGTACGAATTAGGTCGATAATTGCTTGAGGGAAATTTGTATATGGATGTTTGGACCAAACCACCAATTCTCCATTTATGGTTTTTGGCCAATTAATTGAAGGCTTCCCTCCGTTACATCCAAGCAAGGGAACCCTAAGAGGTAGCATAAGAAAATCCCCTGCCCCACCCCAATACCAGTTCGTTCGTTTCCCTTTCGACATGCGAGAGCCACACCGCAAGATCCCAGCCTGACCCTCTCGATTCCTTTGCCTACGAAACACCCCCGCCGCCATCACTCCTGTTCTACTCATGATTCCCCAGCTGCTGATCTCTATGGATTGAATCGGGGTCGATGGAATGAGGACCTGGAAATAGTTGCAGAGCGATGTGATGCGAGGAGGCGGATCATGAACGATGGTGTCCTCTTCCTGCAGCCAGCTAAGGACCGAACATGAGAATCAATAAGTCAAAGGCGGGAGAGGGATACAGCTGCGGGACCAGCCGCAACACTATTCCTCGCAAGAAAAGAAAGAAGAAACTCCCTCTGATCAGGTCAATCGAACGGGGACAGAGAGCAGCTGAAAGAATCCATGCGGTGCGGGATGTGTACGTCGATCCCCAAAGTATAGGAAATTGTCGAGACTCGTATTCTTGAGAAGGCTGGCTGGGGAGCGTGCAGATGGAGACTACGGTGGCGCTAGTGGTCGACGGTGTTGGATGATTCCGACAGTTGGCGATCAACCGGGGAGCAATGACACGGAGGTAAGGCTTGACTATTTCCTGGGAATTTCAGTTGGCGATAATTAGATGGTAGTGTGGGTACGTGGGTAATTAACAGAAGCCTACAGGATAAGAATTAGGTGAATATTGGGGACTAATTCGTTGGGGCTTTGTATATTGGTAGTGTTACGTGGACGTTTGCCGAGTTAGTTGAAATTGTGGAAGGAAGCGTGGATATTGGGAACTCTGTTACATGGATTATTAGTGTGATACATGTATATTTATTTGACCAGGAGATAAGTGAACGAATTTATACAAGGAGTATAGCCAAGGAATGATGAGGCGTTGGGTAGTGGACTACTATATGGAATTTGGGATTGGAATCAACCAAATTTGAGGTCGTTTGATTAGTTACGTTCGTAGAAAGGAGTATTAAGTTTTGCCTAAATACTTAATAGGAGAATTTGCAAAAGGAGATGATTGAGCGTGGAATATGGGACGATGACATGGATCAACCGGCAATAAAGAGGGGTCGTATTGATCCATCAAGGTCGGCTAATAAGGTGAGTGTAAAGGGGGTAAAATCTCCGTCGATGTCTTTCAGTTTATGCCTTTTTAATTTAGTTATGTTATTTAGTTTTCAAGTAAGCGCGATTGTGTGTGTGTGAGGCATCCCACCGCCTACTTAAGGTGGAGGCACGCGTTGTGCTATGTGTGTGTGTGTTTATGATGTATGGTTGATGGTATGAGGAACCCTCGGGCGGTTGGGCCACTACTGGACGCAGTAGATGGTCAGGTCACTACTGGACGGCGATACGTAACGCAGTAGTTGACCGGGCATGGAATGGACGGCGATACGTAACGCAGTACCATTGCCTTGAGGATAGGGACACCGAACGGCGATACGTAACGCGGTGATTCCCTAGTAATAGGTATATAAGTTAAGGTAGTAGTAGAGAACTTCTATGAGTTAAGGCTAAAAGTTGAGAACCTCTATGAGTTAAAGTTGAAATGAGTTGTTAAGGACGAAATTGAGAACGACTTTCATCTAAGGAAAGGAAACGCTAATAACGTGTTTAAGTAAGGAGATTCCTAAGGGCAGAGACCGTAGGAGGTAACGACGAGACTGACCCCTTCTCACTCACCAGGTTGAGGAAGGGATACCAGAGGTGGATTCCGAGAAGAAGTAAAATGAGGCAAGCGGTCGCGCCAGTACTGATGATGAGATGTCAAGGAGCTGGGTGAAGAGTATAGTTAAAGTTTGAAAGTTATTTTATGATTATGATTATGAGTTTATGTACTGGAGATTCAAGGTTCAAGATTCGGGGTTAAGTTGTTTTAAGTATTTGGCTTTTGATTGCCCAAGTGTTAGGGCTTTTCGTTTGAACTTCTTAAATAATGTCAGTTTGTTTATTTAAAAAGTGGTTTGGTTGCTCCGGAGTAACCGGTTTTTGGTTTGAGTTATGGTTTGGTTTTCGAAAAAGGTCAGGATGTTACATACGTCCCTCTAGGCAATTGACTCAAGAGGGCCTTGTTCCTTTAGTCGAGACTCAAGGTCTAGTCAAGGATTCTCCGCATTGTGGATGAAAGTGAAACAAGTTAGAGATCATCAATAGTTAATCTGGCTAGTGGCTAGGGGGAATCATACCTGAGTGAGTTCCCAACTGTAATTAGATTAACTTTAACTGTAGTTTGCTAGAGTATTTTTAGTTCTTTCATCTTAATCTAGTTTGCTAGATAATGAACTGAAGCTGAGTAATAGTAACTCTAGAGACCCGTAGATTCGATATTTATTACTTGAGCCACTATACTGCAGTCCCTTTCATTGGTTACACTTGGCCATTGTTAGGAGTTGTGTCATAGCGAGTCACTCACCCCCGCGGTTCACAACCACCTACGCCACACGACTCCTTTCAATCCAACGATTCATGGTAGCTAGTTAGGGGAAAGCAACTCCCGAGTGATGCTCCCTTAGTTAGAATTTTCCTTTATTTACTTTTCTTTGCTTGTTTAGTTTGTAGTTCCATTAGTTCTAAACCCAAAAGTTGCTTGCTAGATAACTGCCTAAGTGATTGAAGTAGAGGTACAGGGATCGGCCCGGGTTGACAATTTAAATACTTGCTCTATACTGCACCCGGCTAGAGTTTAAAAACTTGGGCTCTAGTCGGGATTAATTTGTGGTGTAGTTTCGTGCGAGTCAAGTTTTTGGCGCCGTTGCTAGGGACCTTACGGTCCATTATTTTGAAAAGGTCGCTTAGTGTTACTCTTGCATTTTCTATCTTGCCTTTTGTTTGTGTTTTCTGTTTCGTGTTGTGTTTTGTTTTGTTTACCCACTCTTCTCTTAGAAGGGTGGTTTGTGTTTTTTTTATTTTGTTTTTGTGTTTTTGTTTGTGTATATTATGAATCATGGATCCAAATGGCTTCTACAATAGGTGGGGGTATCCACAACCACCCGAATGGGGGTACCCCGGAGCTTCATGGAGTGAATAAGAAGGGGGAAGCCAAGGATCCAGGTTCTAATACCAACCACCCTTCCAAGAAGAACAACCACACCATTGGGGGACTTGCTCACGAAGAGGCAAGAAGAGCTTGTTAAGCAAGCATGTGCAGGACTTGCTCACAATCGCCTCCTACCATTGGAAGAAAGAGAGGAAGTTGAATAGGCGGGCCATGATGATTCTGGAAGAACGAGCTCCGTCATGGATTTCCAACCCCTCCCTCCTCCCGGTTTGACACTAGAAGAGAAAGTGGCACGAGCTTGTTAAAGCTACCGTCTCTTATTATTGGAGGAGAAAGAGGAGGTTGAAGGGGGCTCGATGAAAACCATGTGGAGCAAGAAGAACTCACCCCAGAGAGCTCTTGTGATGAGGATGAACAAGAAGGTTGCATTGATGACTCCCATCACTTTCCCCTTCCCGAAAGCAACTTTGAAGACCAAGACACGAGTATGGAGGAGCAAGAAATTCCTTTCTATGATCTTGCATGGCACCTTGTCCTCCAAACCGTGCTTGAAGATATGAAAGAGAAGGAGAAAGAAGAGGTTGAAGAGGAGGAAGAAAGCATTGAAGAGGGGGAAGATCTCGATTATTCCCAAGGGGAGGAAATTGACGAAGAAGGAAGGGAGGTTGAAGATGAAGTAGAAGGAGCAAGTGGCGTCCAAGATGAGGACGAGGTCATGGTGGATGAAGCATCCGCAGGTTACGACGGTTATGAAAGCTTTCCACCCGACCTCGATGCGCTTTTGGAGAAGGACCCATTTGCGGCTCTTTGCCAAAAACAAGGCCAAACCATCGGCGATCCCTCTTGGTGGATGTGATGGAAGCAAAGAGATGATGCATTACATGGTATGGGGCAAAGAGAAGAAGGAAGAAGGAAAGAAGAAGAGGTCTCGTTGGTGGAGCCTCAACGCCACTCAAGTTCACGAGCCCTCGATCATGGACTCGTCCAATGCTGGTGACTTGAGACATCACCTCACCGATGACAACCTCAACTTCAAGGAGGTTCTTGGGTGGACCGAAACTTGAAGAGCAACCGTTCGGCTCACGACGTTGAAGAAGCGCTTGGTGGGAGGCAACCCAACCATCAACGGTGTGTTTTCGTTTGGCTTCAATAAGTCGACCTTTTGTTTTGCCGCCTCCTTGCTCTTCTAGATCTCACCTGCCCTCCGCTCTCCAACAACAACATTCACCACTATCCGGTAACATCGTTCTACTTCCCTATTTTACATGGTGTGGGTGTGAATGTTTGGTGTGGTTTTGAATGCTTGGAGCCTTGATGTGTGCCCAAATTTGAAAAATTTTGAGGGCTCCAAGCAATGTGTGCATGATCAAAGTGGCCGACTTGTTGATGAATCTCGTGTTTATTGGCATTAACCTTGAATTGTTGCATGTGATTGAGTGCGTCATATGATACTGACTGAGTGGTGCATTAGGATAATGCAAAGGTCTAGTTCTCATGAGTGCTAAAATGAATGGATGTCTTGACTTGATTACTTTTTTATTACAATTGCCATGCATGTTGCTTTGTGAATTGAAATAGATGATTGGGTGATTAGGTATCCATGTGAGGTTTATGCCGATCGTTTTCTTCTTGTGTGCTTAGATCCCTCTTACCATGGCGAGTAACATCACAGTTGTCACTAGTAAGTATGATGGAGGCATAGGATTAGTCCACGCCCAAATGTTGATTGACCCGAAACATCTTATCCCCTAGTCAACCCCTTTGAGTCGTGAGACTTTTGGGGTCGTACTCATTATAGGAGCTCGTTGCTTTTGAGCTTAATGTTGTTTGATAGAACGACCCCTCATCCTTTCTTCGTGTCTAGACCATTGTAGGCCATCCTTGTGTCTCAGAGCCCTCTCTTTTGAGCTCCAAATGAGGTTCTACAAAGGAGGAGTTTACAAGTTTCTTGCTAGGAATGAAAGAGGAAACAAGTAGTGATGGAGGAAGTTCTTTAAAGAAAGCATTGGTTATTAAATGTTAAGGTGGAAAATGTATTACTCTCTAGTACCCCTTTAAAATAAAAGAGAAAGAAAAGAGAAACCAAAAAGAGGTAATAAAATGGGGTAAATAAAAGTAGAGAGTTGCCATAAAAGCCTAAGTGTATGCTCTAGAGAGGGCCTCTTGGCAATCAAGCCATTGAAGCACGTAAATTGTTGTGAACCTCCTTCACTACTATGTTTGAATTGTGGATAGCAAGATTGACCGAGGAAGTATTTTTGAATGTTCTTAGTGCTTGGTGATAGTTTGGAAGAAGGGAAGTGAGGTTTTGGGCGATGCTAGTGGTCGTTGATTGTAGAGAAGGTTCTTAGTCAAAACCATAGAACCTATGGTTGTAAAGTGAAGATGTATGACCTCATGTTGTGTTTGCCACCACCCAAAAAGCCTTTTCCCCATGTCCACGACAATTGCCAATCATTTGAACCCGTGTCTAAGACCTCCGGACAAGCTAGTGATGACAATCGTTCCGTGAACTCTAGCATTTAGAGGTTGTCGCCTTGGTGTTGAGACGATAGGGCTGAGTGTTAATAATTGTGCACATCTTTTGGCACCAAAGAGGTCCCGAACCCACTGGTCAACAGAGTGAGTGATTCATTCTTGTTTTGCATGTCATATCATACCCCGGTGAGGACCTATTTTGCCCATTCGTTTGTTCCTTATACTTGAACTCTATGCATGGTTAGTTGTGGTTGACGAGTGATCTTGTTTAAGACTTGCATTGATTCATGAACAAGGTGAGAACTTTTCGTTTGCCCGTTTTGGTGACCTCGAATGTCGTTTATGGTGGATGTCGGTATCGTTTGCAACGGTTCATGTGTTGAGGTCCAATAACCATTGCGATTCGCCACTTTGTGCCCTTTGATTTGTCCCCAAGTTATCTTATTTGGTTGAGAGAGTACCTTGTGTGAAATGGTTTGCTTGGGGACAAGCAAACGTCTAAGTGTGGGGGAGTTATTTGGGCCCAAATGTACACATTTTACCCCTCATTTCTTAGTCGTTTAGCTGTGTATTTCATCGTTCCTCGACATATTTCATGCTAGGTTATGCTTGTTTTGATACATTTCAGGTCCTAGTACGTGTGGAAGGGTCGAGGACGAGACAATTGCCCCGTAATAGTGAAGTGAAGGCGTCCAGGAAACAGCCGTAGTTCACGGTCTCCTAAGATCGTGAACTTGGACCAAAAACAGTGAACATCAAGGCGTCCAGCGAGGTTCCAGAAGTTACTGACGATAAGGCAGTTCACGGTCTCTAAGACCGTGAACTGGGGCCATTGACCGTGAACCCAGGAGAGTGAAGTGCTGCGTGTTGGACGACACTAAGTTCACGGACGCGTTAAGCTGTTCACGGCCGTGAACTGGCCAACGGGCCAGTGAACTAATCACTTTCGGGCAAATATGAAGACAGCAGCTTGGAGAGAGAATGAGGAGAGCTAGTTTTTGGAGAGAAATTCCATTCCCTCTCTAGGGTTTGTCCAAAACACCAAAAGGCAATTCTAGAGGGACATAGAGAGTGCTAGAGTGATCTTGGAGCATCATCGGAGACTTGGGTGGATCTTGAAGACAAGGATTCAAGCCTAGAAGAAGAAGAATAAGATCTTGAGCTCAAATTTTTAATCTCTCCTCTCTCTCTAGAAACTCACTCTTTTCTCTTGGGTGTTGTAGATCCCTAACTAATACTTTGTAATTACTTGTTTAGATTGAATGATTTCGTATGGGTTTGCATCAATTTGAGTGTTAGAGGTGTTTTCATGGTGATTGTGCTTAGTTGTGCTTTCCAAATCTTGTGTGCTTGCCTAACCTAGATTAGAGGAAACCCACACCTTTTTAGGTAGGCTTGACAAGCTTGGTTTTCCTGGGCACTTAGTGCCCACTATCTAGGTTAGAGATGAGCATCCCCCTTGACTCAAGTTTGCATCTAGGTTGGTCGTGATTAAGCCGCTCAAACTCCGGTTCGAGGGAGAGACCTAGGCAACCCCTAGTGACTGAGTGAGAGGGTCGATCCCTTGACAAATCGATCTCTAGTGAATCCATCCCGTGACAAATGGATCACTAGTTTCTTGATAACACCTAAATTATACATATATTCGCCTACACTTTTACATCCTAAAATAACATAAATTGTACCAAGTTCATTCGATTTCCCGATTTTATGCTTGGTTTTGTGTTTGAGTCATGTTTCAGGGTATTCTATCCAATAAGAACGGAATAATGAGTCAATTCAACAAAAAGATGGTTAGGGTTCGAAATCTGGCGTCGGTGGAACTCGAGCCCGCGACGTCACAGGCGAGGGCAGAGAGCCGTACCACTCCGGCCGCGTCCCCTTTTGTTATCAATATACGAAACCCATCGTGTATTATGGTGATGAATCACGGAAAGAGAGTTAATTAAAAATGCAGATTCAAACCGCAAACTGCCTACTGCAAGCTGGTCCAAACAAAGAAGCAAGCAGCTCCATTATTTGAAAGCAAGCAGCTGCTAATTGCCAGCGGACCATTGAAAGCAAGCAGCTGCTAATTGCCTTGTCGATGAAAGAAAGAAAGCAGCTGGCCATTAAGAGCAAGCTAGCTGGGTAATGTATTGGAGGCAAGCTGACGGCTGAAGCTAGCTGCTGGTCCTCTTCGCATTACACGGACTTGGAAATGGTAATGGACCAACGTGCTTGTATTAAATGGACCAATGTGCTTGTATTAAATGCAAGCTTGGAGCTAAAGCAAGTTGGTCAATTGATATGTAAAATTTATGAAGCAAGCAGCTGGCCATTGAAAGCAAGGTCCTCTATTGGCCACGTAGTCCAAGCTAGCAGCTGGGAGCATGGATCACTCGGCAGTTGCTGAAAATGAGAAGTGAAATGGAAGCAGGCTGGTGAATTAAATGGAAGCAGGCGGCTGGTGAATTATGAGAGCAAGTAGCGAGAGATACCAAAATTGCACTATAAATAGAGGGAGAGGTGATGTTGCGAGAGACACTAGACAATATACACACTACTGCTACATTTTGTTCTCCCTTTCTTGTATTTGAACTTAGCCGAAACTCTATCGATTTTCATTCCAAACTCTTGTTACTTCTTTTCATTTCGTTAATCATATCTCGTATTTCATCCATCGTGATTCTTATGTTTGTGTTCGTATTTAGGAATACCGTGGTATATTGCGTTATTGAGATTACCGAAGTGAGCTTCTATTCTGTGGGGTTATGATAATCATTTGTGGTGGTAGATTGGTCGGTTTCCACTGTCTTCGCCCAACGATTATTCCCCCGTCAGAAGTTTGCTAGGTGTAATCTATTAACTCAATATACATACCGTATTCTCAACCCCTCCGTCTTCGTCGTCATCATCATGGTAATGTTCTCAACCTTCATCTTTCTAAATCTCATCATGTCCGGCTAATCTTCTAGTTGTTCCGGATTTTATGAACCCTAATATGTTTTACATTGATTGAGTGGTATCTTTGATATAGACGTGTTGTTCTCGTTCTTACGATCTTTTCTCGACTTATCACGTGCAAGTATCAATAGTACGCATCTATTGTATATTTTGTCTGATACATGTAAATGAGACTGCGAGGTAATTTTGCATGTTAGATCCCTCGTGAAAAGAAGTAATTGATCGGAGCCACCGGCGATGGGGTCACGTAGTTCCTCCGGATTAGCTTAAAAACCTTGTACGAAAATTCATAAATCTGGTTATTGCTTTGGTTTAAGATTTTTGTAAGCCACGGTTTCACTTGATTCTTAAGTCGAAAGGGTGTTAATACATGTGCGAACGGGTTAACACTAAATTGGGAATTTTCACGGTCTAAGATATTAACACTCGTCTATGTTAAATTCAACTTGTCTGTAAAATGCATATTAGGGGGATTCACTTCCGGGACAACGCCTTCTCCACTTGATTTTACTTTGAAAACTACTTTATTGTATCTTTATTATTGCGTGTGTTTTTATTTCTAAACGAAAATCAACTAAAAACGATTGACTAGATAATAGGTAAAAGCTGAGTACTAGTACACAAAGTCTCTGTGGATACGACCTTGCTTCCTGCTATACTACCGTAGAACGATAGGTACCCTTGCCTATTTTTCCTGTGTTAGTTACGGGCGATCAAGTTTTTGGCGCCGTTGCCGGGGACTAAGTTGTTAGAAAAAGCTTTGAACTATTAATTTAGTCGCTTTATTTTTCTTGTTACTTGTTATATCACACTTGTTGCTTTCACGGGTTGTTCTTGTTTTTGTGCATGAAATAGTGCATGACCCGAAACCACCCACGTGGACTAGTCGACCTTAATCCCGAGATCGAGAGAACTCTTCGTCAATGAAGGAGAGAGCAACAAGTGCGGCCACACACAATGGTGGAAGAACACGCTGAAGTGAACAATAGGACAATGTCTGATTATGGCCGTCCTACCTTGGACGGAACTCACTCAAGCATCCGAAGGCCCAATAACGAAGCCAACAACTTCGAAATCAAAACTGGGATGCTACAAATGATCCAAAATTGGGTGCAATTCAATGGGATGCCCGACGAAGATTCCAACACTCATATCAAGAAGTTTCTGGAGCTCTGTGACACCATCAAAATCAATGGTGCATCCGTCGATGCTATTCGCCTTCGACTATTCCCGTTCTCTCTCGACAACAGAGCACGGGAGTGGCTTGACGGTCAACCACGGAATTCCATCACAACGTGGGACGGGTTGGCTGAAAAATTCTTAGCCAAATATTTCCCACCAAGCAAGACGGCGAAGCTGAGGAACGACATCGCCGCCTACCACCAAGAAGACTCTGAAACTCTCTACGAAACTTGGGAGAGATTCAAGAACACCCTCAGGAGATGTCCTCATCACGGCATTCCCCATTGCTGCAAATGCAAACTTTCTACAATGGGCTAAATCCAGAGACGAAACAATCAAATGACGCAGCAAGGGGTGGCACCATCAACAACAAAACACCTCCCCAAGTAGAGCAGCTAATCGAAGACATGGCAATGAACAGCTGACTCACTTCTACTGTCACTCCAGGAATTGGCCAAGTGAAACCACTTCCTGAAGCGTAGTATAGTGGGTTTAGGTTTATATGTCAACCCGGGTCCTAGATTTGATGACTACTCAGTGAATTCTTGTTATCTAGCAATGAAACTTTAATGCAAGTCTAAACTAACAAACTAACAAAGCAAGTAAACGGACTAAACTAACAAACTAACAAAGCAAGTAAACGGTTGTATTCAGGTTAAGAGAGGTCACCCGGATATGGTTCCCCCTAGACTGCAGTTAAGCCGGATTGCAATTACCAAGTTCAGTTTCTATGAAAGTTATACTGCGGAAGGTTCTTAAACAGCCTGAAGTCTCGACTAAAGGTCTTCAGACCCTCTCAATCTGAGTCTCTAGCGGGCGACTAACCTCCACTGGAGTAAACAGATTGAGGCCTTAACAAACAAAACCTCCACTACCGGAGTAAAACCGGTACCGAATAGTGAGTTGGTTCCTCGACTAAAGTCACCAACTCCCTACCTTCAATCAAGGATGCTCTATCAACCTAGGCAGATATTCTCATTCTAGGTTAAAGTAGAAACAACAGGAATTTGATCAGGATTCAAGTCATTCAATCATTCAAACCTCAATCGAATATAATCAAAACATAGAATCGGTACTTGGGTTCATACAATCAAAGCCTAACATACAAATCTAGGGTTCTCCATACCCAGATGAATGGGAGAACTACTCCATGGAGAAAGAAGCAAAAGCAGAATCAGACGCGGAATTCATACTATGAAGGATGGATTCCTGCTCCTGGATGTTGATCGGCACTTCTCCAAGCTCAAACTGGCCTCCAATGGTGTTGAAGATCAAGCTAGGGTGCTTGGAGATTCTTCTTCGTCGCTTTCTCTCTCTAGGAATCGCTCTGTCTCTCTAAAACTCGAATCCCCTTCTGTTTGGCTGAAAATCTGCTTAAAAGGGCATCAGTGGCCAAAGCACGGTCGAGGGCACGGCCGTGTAATGCCTCAGCCCGCCCGTGTTTTGGCTAGTGTTAATTACACTAGGAGAAACACGGCCGTGCTTTTGGGAGGACACGGCCGTGCTTTGGTGAAGCACGCCCGTGTTCTATCTCAGCCTTGCCCGTGTTTTGGCCAATGTTTGCCAAACTCGAATTAGCTCTCGGCAGTAAAAGCACGGTCTCAGAACACGGCCGTGTTCTGATTTAGGTGTGCCCGTGTTTTGGCTCCAGCTTGACGAAATGACTTCCGAATGCCCCGAAACTCGTGCTCAACCTTCCCTTTGACATCAGGGACCTGAAACATGACAAAATAGCACAACCCGGCGTAAAATAGGCCAAAAACACACAACTATGCTCCTCAAACGGATAAGAACTAGGGGCGCAAATACGTGCAATCACATCGTTATCAAATTCCCCCACGCTTAACCGTTTGCTTGTCCCCAAGCAAACCTAACTCAAACTAATGAAACTCTCCAGACCTCTCTAGCAACAAACAACCCAGATCGTAGGTAGAGGACTTTCTAGATCATTTAGCAGCTTACGAGGTCAACCGACGCACAAGTTATCTCATAGCTTCTTCGGCGAGAACGCTAGTCTCGAGTCGGCATTATGGCAAATAGTGAACAGAGGACAAATGGATCGTGGATGAAGAGATTCTCAAAAACAAAGGATCATGGACTCATATCTTTCAAGGTGCTCTATTTTCTTCTTGAAGATGGTTGGAACCCCTTCTCTTTCTGTTTTGCTTGTTTTTAGTTATTTTTTCTTTTCTTTTCTTTTTTTCTTTTTTCAAGGGTCCCAACCGGCTCTTACCGGCCATGCCAGGTGCGGATGTCTCGAGCCTCGTGCGGGGAAAGACATGTAAGGGGGCTGGAGGTAGTAGGTGGAAATTGGGAACGGATTCCCGTGCCCCTTACACACTTTCGCCCTATTCGCACAGGAGACGTTATTTTGAAGCACATTTTCGAGCACCTGTTAAACTCAAAACATGATACAAGTGTCCATGAAAGGTAGAGAGTCCACAACACCACACAATTCAAGGGTCCTAAGATCACTAATTCACTCAATCAACCAACACAATATGAAGAAGAAATGAGACTTCTTAAATGCATCAACATCCTCCATAGTGCTACACTACCTCCCTAGGTTGCACATTACTATAAAGACTGTCAATTCAAAGCATATTGTGCAGGCAATTGCAAGGAACACGTACTTGGAGCCCTCAAATTTAAAAATTTGGACAGTGGACTAGGCTCCAAGCACACAAACAGATCTAATGCAGTCAAAAGATAAACATCCCCCCCACACTTAAGATCGACATTGCCCTCAATGGAGAAGAGGGAAGGAAAAGGGGAACGATGTTACCGGTATGCACGGACTGCAGGGGACTGGAAGCGGACCAGTCGAGTGAAGCGGACTGGAGAGGGACCAGTCAAGCCAAGCACAGCTAAAGGAAACCAAAGAGCTCAACACAGTATGTTAGGTCCAATGGTCAGCCCAATAATACATCATCGAGAACAAAAGAAAACAAACCAAACCCAAACCGGGTTACAATCCGACTCAAAACACAAGAAAGAAAGTCAAACCGTGGTGGGGTTGCCTCCCCACAAGTGCTTCTTTACCGTCGTGTAGCTGGACGCCCATGGTGGATACTCAGGGAGGTGCAGGAATAGGTGCCTCCAAGAGCGGATCCACGTCGCTCTGGAGGTACAGTTTAAGGTTGTGGCCATGCACCCGACGGATGCGACCACCATCATCAGTCAGCTCGATCTGGCCATCTGGCAAAATGCAGGAGAGTGAGTACCCAGACGGCCAAGGTGGTCGTGGTGCAGGAGGTGGGACCAGCTCATAGTGGTCTCCACTCTTCTTCCGTGCAGGCTTAGCAACCTGTTGCTTCGGCCGCCACTCCTCCTTGAGCTTTTTGTTCGGAGGTGAGGCTGGATGGAGTGGCGGCGAAGGAATAATAGGAGGGTCCTGCAAAATAAGAGGTGCAGAAGGGTACACGACAGGCTCGTATACCTGATCAGAAATGGCATGCACAGGCGTGACAACAATCATAGCACAATGATCAAACTCAGTCACAGAAAAAGTAGCCTGTTCATTCCCATCACGCAGGATCAGTTTACCATCATGCACATCAATAAGTGCCTTGGCGATGGCAAGAAATGGTCTCCCCAGAATCAAAGGCACATCCACATCCTCATGTATATCAAGAATAACAAAATCAACAGGATATGTGAATGCACCAACACTAACAAGCAGATCCTCTATGATTCCCCTAGGATGCACAATGGAACGATCAGCTAGCTGAATGCTCATCCTTGTAGGGCTAAGTTCACCTAGGTCTAGCTTTTTATACAACTTATATGGCATGACGTTTATGCTAGCGCCTAGGTCCGCCAAGGACTTGCCTACATGCATGCTGCCAATAGTAAGAGGGATAGTAAAACTCCCTGGATCCTTGCGCTTTTCGGGCAGCTTGTTCTGCAGGATAGCATAACACTCCTCACTGAGCATCACTGTCGAAAGATCCCCAAGTTTCTTCTTGTCGGTGAGGAGGTCTTTCATGAACTTGGCATACTTGGGCATCTTCGACAGTGCCTCCACGAACGGTATGCTGATGTTGAGCTGCTTCAACATTGCCATAAACTTGGCAAACTCAGTCTCCAGCTTGTCTTTGTGTAGGGGTTGGGGAAGGGAAGCTGGGGTACATGCTCCTTAACCACTGGTTGTGGCTTGGGAGCAGGGGCTTCCTTCTCCACCCGCACTTCTGCATCGTTGGCTGGAAGTGCTGAAGCAGGTAGTGGTTCCTCCTGTCTGGCCGGGACAGGATCAGCCGATATGCTCTTACCGCTCCGGGTAAATATGGAATCCAGCTGCTGAAGCTGGTGAGGATCCCGAGGATTCGGGATAGTGGTGGCAGGTAGAGTCCCCGGTGCCCTGGTAGTGTTTTGGCGGGCCAAGATGCCCACCTAGGTCTGCAGATCTTGCAAAATGGCACCCTGGTTTCGCTGACCTGCCTCCAGTGACGTGATAGCAGCCTGAGTGCTAGTCATGAATGAAGCTAGAATATTTTCCAGCTTCGTCATCTGAGTATCTGGAGCTAGAGCTGCTGCTGGCTCGGCAAACTGGCGCTGGGGCTGCTGGAATGGTTGCCCCTGTCTAGGCTGGTAGGGCTGCTGCTGTGGTTGCCCCTGCCTAGGCTGGTAGGGCTGATGCTGTGGGGCTGGCCCCTGTCGAGCCTAGAAGGGCTGCCTCTACTGAAAGCCACCAGCTGGTGCTGGGAAATCAGGTGGCTTAGTAGTGATGCTGCCCCAAGAGAAGTTGGGATGCTGGCGCCACCCCTCATTATATGTGTTGCTGTACGGGTCGAGGCGCCGAGCATTGGCGATGAAGTCCAACTGCACTTGGGGAGTAGTAGACTCCCTCATAGCATGGCAGTCTTCCACTAAGTGATTCGAGCTCTCACACCACTGACATTGAGCTACTGGATGTGTAGCCAAACCTCTGCCCGGAATAAGACTGTTGGGCTGCTTCAATGTCTGCACTAACTCAGCTACCTGCTGCTCAAGCCCGGATCTGGTCTCCATGGCGTGCACACCACGGTCCCGGGAATGTCTGCCTCTGCTGCTCTGCCCCCAAGAATGATCTCTGGCAGCCAAGGTATTGATCATCTGGTTCAGCTCGGGTGGAGTCTTAATGAGAATATCCCCTCCTGGGCATAGAGACTCAATCACCCTCTGGCTATCTGGAGAGAGAGCACTATAGAAGTTCCCCACTGTGAATGCATCACTAAAGCCATGATGGGGACACTGCCAGAAATATCCCATGTACCGCTCCCATGCATCACGAAGTGACTCATCTGGCTCTTGGCGGAAGTGAGTGATCTCCCGCTGGATCTCTATAGTCTTCGATGCCGGATAGTACCTGTGCACGAATTTGTCAGCCAGATCGTCCCAAGAGGTGATGGACAATGGGGGCTGGGTCTCCAACCACCTCTTAGCATTCCCCCCCAGAGAATGGGGGAAGAGATGAAGGCGGATTGCATCATCAGTGACACCATTCAGCTTGAACCCGTTCGTCAGCTGCAGAAAACGGGAAAGATGCACCCTAGCCTCCTCATCCTTCAGGCCATGGAACTGGATAGAAGATGTAATGAGCTGAATCCAGCATGGCTTGATCTCGAAGTTGTTTGCTGGAATGGGCGGATAGAGGATGACCGGGCGGATGTCAGCAATCCGTGGAGTATAGTAGTACTCCAAGGTGGGGCCCGGCGGCGGTGGATGATGAACCCCATGATCCTGGGGTATGGGGTTGTTCCCCAGGACCTGATTCACCGGGGGAGCCTGCTGAGGATTTCCCTGGTGCTGATTGTAGTCTCCGTCCATCCCGTACTCTTCTTCAGAATCGCTACTCAAGTGGCCGTCTAGACGCTCTTCCGTAGCCAGTCTAGCTCGCTGTTGTCTCCTGAGTTGGCGACAGGTGCGGTCAATCTCTGGATTCAACGGCAGTAAACTTCCCAACTGGCTACGGGTCATGCACTACCTGCACGCACTCAAGCAAGCAAACCCGTGAAGGCACAAGTGGGACAAAGCAAACAAAGCAAAAAAGAAAAGCGAAATTAACATAAATCACTTTTCTTCAACAACCTAGCCGTCCCCGGCAACGGCGCCAAAAACTTGCCTCACTTCTACTGTCACTCCGGATTGCAATTACCAAGTTCAGTTTCTATGAAAGTTATACTGCGGAAGGTTCTTAAACAGCCTGAAGTCTCGACTAAAGGTCTTCAGACCCTCTCAATCTGAGTCTCTAGCGGGTGACTAACCTCCATCGGAGTAAACAGATTGAGGCCTTAACAAACAAAACCTCCACTACCGGAGTAAAACCGGTACAGAATAGTGAGTTGGTTCCTCGACTAAAGTCACCAACTCCCTACCTTCAATCAAGGATGCTCTATCAACCTAGGCAGATATTCTCATTCTAGGTTAAATCAGAAACAACAGGAATTTGATCAGGATTCAAGTCATTCAATCATTCAAACCTCAATCGAATATAATCAAAACATAGAATCAGTACTTGGGTTCATACAATCAAAGCCTAACATACAAATCTAGGGTTCTCCATACCCAGATGAATGGGAGAACTACTCCATGGAGAAAGAAGCAAAAGCAGAATCAGACGCGGAATTCATACTGTGAAGGATGTATTCCGGCTCCTGTATGTTGATCGGCACTTCTCCAAGCTCAAACTGGCCTCCAATGGTGTTGAAGATCAAGCTAGGGTGCTTGGAGACTCTTGTTAGTCGCTTTCTCTCTCTAGGAATCGCTCTGTCTCTCTAAAACTCGAATCCCCTTCTGTTTGGCTGAAAATCTGCTTAAAAGGGCATCAGTGGCCAAAGCACGGTCGAGGGCACGGCCGTGTAATGCCTCAGCTCGCCCGTGTTTTGGCTAGTGTTAATTACACTAGGAGAAACTCGGCCGTGCTTTTGGGAGGACACGGTCGTGCTTTGGTGAAGCACGCCCGTGTTCTATCTCATCCCTGCCCGTGTTTTGGCCAATGTTTGCCAAACTCGAATTAGCTCTCGGCAGTAAAAGCACAGTCTCAGAACACGGCCGTGTTCTGATTTAGGTGTGCCCGTGTTTTGGCTCCAGCTTGACGAAATGACTTCCGAATGCCCCGAAACTCGTGCTCAGCCTTCCCTTTGACACCTGGGACCTGAAACATGACAAAATAGCAAATAGGCCAAAAACACACGACTATGCCCCTCAAACGGATAAGAACTAGGGGCGCAAATACGTGCAATCACATCGTTATCAAATTCCCCCACACTTAACCGTTTGCTTGTCCCCAAGCAAACCTAACTCAAACCAATGCAACTCTCCAGACCTCTATAGCAACAAACAACCCAGATCGTAGGTAGAGGACTTTCTAGATCATTTAGCAGCTTACGAGGTCAACCGACGCACAAGTTATCTCATAGCTTCTTCGGCGAGAACGCTAGTCTCGAGTCGGCATCATGGCAAATAGTGAACAGAGGACAAATGGATCGTGGATGAAGAGATTCTCAAAAACAAAGGATCATGGACTCACATCTTTCAAGGTGCTCTATTTTCTTCTTGAAGATGGTTGGAACCCCTCATTATATGTGTTGCTGTACGGGTCGAGGCGCCGAGCATTGGCGATGAGGTCCAACTGCTCTTGGGGAGTAGTAGACTCCCTCATAGCCTGGGAGTCTTCCACTAAGTGATTCGAGCTCTCACACCACTGACATTGAGCTACTGGAGGTGTAGCCAAACCTCTGCCCGGAATAACACTGTTGGGCTGCTTCAATGTCTGCACTAACTCAGCTACCTGCTTCTCAAGCCCGGATCTGGTCTCCATGGCGTGCACACCACGGTCCCGGGAATGTCTGCCTCTGCTGCTCTGCCCCCAAGAATGATCTGTGGCAGCCAAGGTATTGATCATCTGGTTCAGCTCGGGTGGAGTCTTAATGAGAATATCCCCTCCTGGGCATAGAGACTCAATCACCCTCAGGCTATCTGGAGAGAGAGCACTGTAGAAGTTCCCCACTGTGAATGCATCACTAAAGCCATGATGGGGACACTGCCAGAAATATCCCATTTACCGCTCCCATGCATCACGAAGTGACTCATCTGGCTCTTGGCGGAAGTGAGTGATCTCCCGCTGGATCTCTGTAGTCTTCGATGCCGGATAGTACCTGTGCACGAATTTGTCAGCCAGATCGTCCCAAGAGGTGATGGACAATGGGGGCTGGGTCTCCAACCACCTCTTAGCATTCCCCGCCAGAGAATGGGGGAAGAGATGAAGGTGGATTGCATCATCAGGGACACCATTCAGCTTGAACCCGTTCGTCAGCTGCAGAAAACGGGAAAGATGCACCCTGGCCTCCTCATCCTTCAGGCCATGGAAATGAATAGAAGATGTAATGAGCTGAATCCAGCATGGCTTGATCTCGAAGTTGTTTGCTGGAATGGGCGGATAGAGGATGACCGGGCGCATGTCAGCAATCCGTGGAGTATAGTAGTACTCCAAGGTGGGGCCCGTCAACGAAGGAGAGAGCAACAAGTGCGGCCACACACAATGGCGGAAGAACACGCTGAAGTGAACAATCGGACAATGTCTGATTATGCCCGTCCTACCTTGGACGGAACTCACTCAAGCATCCGAAGGCCCAATATCGAAGCCAACAACTTCGAAATCAAAACTGGGATGCTACAAATGATCCAAAATCGGGTGCAATTCAATGGGATGCCCGACGAAGATCCCAACACTCATATCAAAAAGTTTCTGGAGCTCTGTGACACCATCAAAATCAATGGTGCATCCATCGATGCTATTCTCCTTCGACTATTCCCGTTCTCTCTCGACAACAGAGCACGGGAGTGGCTTGACGGTCAACCACGGAATTCCATCACAACGTGGGACGGGTTGGCTGAAAAATTCTTAGCCAAATATTTCCCACCAAGCAAGTCGGCGAAGCTGAGTAACGACATCGCCGCCTACTGCCAAGAAGACTCTGAAACTCTCTACGAAACTTGGGAGAGATTCAAGAACACCCTCAGGAGATGCCCTCATCACGGCATTCCCCATTGGCTGCAAATGCAAACTTTCTACAATGGGCTAAATCCAGAGACGAAACAATCAAATGACGCAGCAAGGGGTGGCACCATCAACAACAAAACACCTCCCCAAGTAGAGCAGCTAATCGAAGACATGGCAATGAACAGCTATGAGTGGTATTCCCTTCGAACCAAGTGCAGACCACCACCGACCAGAAGTGCCGGACTACACTAAGTTGACCCAGTTACAGCCTTGGCCACACAAGTTGAAACCCTCAACAAAAAGTTCGACCAGCTCACTGTATCCGGCAAGGTGTTCAAGTGCGAATGGTGTGCTGGTGACCACAACACTACCGAGTGCAAGTTGATCTCCTCAACATTTACCACCGAGCATGTTGATTATATCAACAATCCTCAGAGGAGCGGAAATCCATATAGCGGCACATACAATCCAGGATGGCGAAACCATCCAAACTTCTCTTGGTCCAACCAAGGGAATCAACGAGCTCCACCCGGATTTAATCAAGCATCATCAAGCAATTCCAATCAGCACCATCAACAACTGCCACCACAAGAAAAGAAATCTAGTCTCGAAGATATGATTGGCAAGTTCATCTCCACCTCCGACTCCAAATTCCATGCTTTGGACAAATACATTTCCGTCTCCGAGGATCAATTCCAAAACCTTGAAGCGGGCCAATAACATCTTCAAGCTTCTGTGCATAGTTTGGAAACACAAGTTGGGCAAATAGCCAAGCTACTTTCTGAGAGAAATCAAGGCAGCCTGCCGAGCGACACCGAAATCAATCCGAAGCAGAAGCAACATTTGGATGCCATGTTTCGAATGCCAAAGTATGCTCGCTTCCTGAAAGAAATCCTCACCAACAAGCGGAAATTGGAGGAGCTGTCAACAGTGATGCTGAATGAGGAATGTTCGGCCATCTTCCAAAACAAGCTTCCGGAGAAACGAAAAGACCCAGGGAGTTTTACTATACCTTGCTTAATTGGTTATGTCTATATTGATAAATCTTTAGCTGACCTTGGAGCAAGTATAAATGTTATGCCATATAAAATGTTTAAACGTTTAGGGCTAGGTGAACCTAATCCTACACGAATGAGCATCCAGTTGGCTGATCGTTCCATAGTGCATCCTAGGGGAATCATAGAAGATTTAATTGTTAAAATTGGCTCATTCATATTCCCAGTCGATTTTGTGATCCTAGATATTGATGAGGATGTCGATGTGTCATTAATTCTTGGTAGACCGTTTCTGGCAACTGCAAAGGCTCTAATTGATGTGAATGATGGAAAATTGATTTTGAGAGTGGGGGAAGAATAAATGACATTCAAAATTCCAGAAAGCATGAAATATGCTCGTGAAAATGATGATGCCAATTTTTGTTCAGATATAATTGATGATGAGACTGCTAACTTTGTTTCTGAGATTCTTCATTCAGATGCTTTACAGGTTTTCCTTACTCAAGGACAGGAAACAACGGGATCTGTCCAACAAATTGAGCAAGCTGCGAATTGGAGCAGGAGGAGAAGGTGGTAGAACTCCCTAAATCGGAGAAAATCAAGTCGTCCATCGAAGAACCACCAACTCTCGAACTAAAGCAATTACCAAACCACCTTGAGTATGCTTTCCTTCGAGAGAACTCCAAGCTCCCTGTCATCATCAACGCGGCCCTAACTGAGGAGCAGAAGGGGAGATTGATCAAACTACTGAAAAGTCATGAACGAGCCTTGGCTTGGAAGATCTCCGACATTCAAGGAATCAATCCCTCATTTTGCACGAACAAAATTCTGATGGAGGATGACTATAAGCCGGTGGTCCATCCCCAAAGTCGACTCAATCCGAACATGAAGGAAGTAGTGAAAGCTGAGGTGATCAAGTTACTCGATGCTGGAGTAATTTACCCCATCTCCGACAGTTCATGGGTGAGCCCTGTCCAGGTAGTCCCAAAAAAAGGCGGGATGACCGTCATCACCAATGAAAAGAATGAGCTCATCCCCACCAGAAAAGTCACCGGTTGGAGAGTCTGCATCGACTATCATCGCCTGAATGATGCCACCAGAAAAGATCACTTCCCACTCCCATTCATTGATCAAATGCTCGAGCGATTGGCCGACCACAATTACTATTGCTTCCTCGATGGGATGTCTGGCTACTTTCAGATTCCCATCTCACCAGAAGATTAAGAGAAAACCACATTCACTTGTCCGTACGGCACTTTTGCGTATCGGCGCATTCCTTTCGGATTGTGCAATGCACCAGCAACCTTTCAACGGTGTATGATTGCCATCTTTAACGAGTTGGTGGGAGATATCATGGAAGTCTTCATGGATGACTTCTCAGTATTCAGAGATTCCTTCGACAAATGCCTCCACAACCTCGAAAAAGTTCTAATCCGATGCGAAGAGACGAATCTCGCTCTCAATTGGGAGAAATGCCACTTTATGGTGACCGAGGGCATTGTACTTGGACACAAAATTTCATCACAAGGCATCGAGGTTGATCGAGCAAAAATTGATGTCATCTCCAACCTTCCACCACCAGTCAATGTGAAAGCAATAAGGAATTTTCTTGGGCATGCCGGCTTCTATCGACGCTTCATCAAAGACTTCTCCAAAATTGCTCGACCATTGACAAAGCTTCTCGAGAAGGATGCTCCATTTGACTTTACGGCAGAATGCAACGACGCATTTGCGGCACTAAAGCACAAACTGACCCACGCACCGATTATGGTGAGTCCCGACTGGAGCCTCCCGTTCGAACTCATGTGTGATGCATCTGACTACGCCGTAGGAGCTGTCCTCGGCCAAAGGTATGACAAACATTTCAAACCAATTTCCTATGCAAGTAAAACCTTAAATGATGCTCAAGAAAATTACACAACAACTGAAAAGGAATTACTAGTTGTGGTGTTTGCATTTGATAAGTTCCGATCATACCTAGTTTTATCACGATGCGTTGTTTTTACTAATCACTCTGCTTTGAAGTATTTAATGAACAAGACAGACGCTAAACCTCGTCTGATTCGATGGATTCTTCTTCTCCAAGAATTCGACATCGAAATTCAAGATAAAAAAGGCGCAGAAAATTTGGCAGCAGATCAGCTTTCCCGACTGGAAAATCCAAAAGATGATGTTTTGGATGAAATCAATGAAACATTTCCGGATGAACGACTCTATACAGTAGGAAGAGTTGAACTTGACACCCCATGGTATGCGGATTTTTCCAATTACTTGGTGGGAAAGACTCTGTCAACTGGGCTCTCGTACCAACAAAAGAAAAAATTCTTTTCTAACCTTAAATCTTATTTTTGGCTGCTCTGGAGCTTGGACCTCTGGATCGAGCTCCACTGAAGCCGGGTCAACTGCTGCTCGCATGACTCCTTATGGTCGGAGTCCATCAAGGTACTCAATGCCCCGATCTCCCTGAAGCACCAGCCACTGGTTATAGAGAGTCTCCACTGGGCTCCGTCCGTCCGACGGAACAACGCGCCAGATCCACGTGAAAGTGTCAGGAAATCCTCGTGATGATGTCCCCATATTCATGGTGTCCACCCTGTTCTGCCCCAGACACTGGGGGAAAGCGGGGGCAATCGGTGATCCCAGGTTGATCGGCTCTGCTGGATGCCTCATGGAGAAGAGAGCAAGTAACCCTCTGTTCGTCATCAGGTGGCCCGACTGCAGGCTAGGGACGACCGAGCAGGTGAGCAAGGTATGAAGGATCATCCAAGGGGGCCTCAGCTTCCCGCATTGGTGCAGCTCCCCTCGAACTTCTCTTGCTCATGCTTAGGGCAGCAGAGGGCCTCGAATGCGGCCCGATAGTAAACGTCGACGATGTACTGCCACTCCATCATCGTCATGTGTGTCAGGTCTAGCCCCATGGCCTGAGTGAAGGCATTGTAGGTTAGTACTCGTGACTGACCTCCCAACATAAACTCCACGTACGGCCGGCTCTTCTTGTTGGCCGTGACGACGTGGGCGAAGGTGGAGTAGAACTACACGCAGAGCTTGTGGTAGATGTGCTCGTCCATCGTCACAAGCTGGCACCACTGGGGGTGACAAACGACCCCGGACATCGCATCTCGCCACCTGAACAAATTAAACATGTCCAGGTCCATACGCCAATTGGCCCAATTGGGCTGTCCTTCTGGTAGGCAAACCGTGCATGGTTCACCAGGTAGCTGATGTACTCGTGCTCTACGTTAAGAATCCTGCAAAAATCGACAAACAAGCACCATATGTGGAAACAATCGTCAAGGCATTAAAGAAGGTAGAGCTAAAAACCAACCTGGAGACTCAAGTAGGAAGTAGGAGGAAATGAGTTGAGGGAGAGGAAGGCGAAAAACGGCCCAAAAACAGACTAGAGAAGGGTCGCCCGAGCTTCTTCAGGAGCTCGTCGGAGACTCGTCGTCGGCGACTTTGCCGGAGGAAAAATGCTCCAAATCTTCCCAAAATTTTAGCTCAAGCCGGTTTTGATGAGTATGGGTATGCACTTGGTTTTTGGTTTGGCTCGCCGTAAATGGGTGAAATGAGAAAAAATCGACGGATTTTCGCGGTTTTCCAGCGATATTTTAATTTTACGGCGAGTTTTTGATCGTGAAAGAGTCACTGTTTACGCTCCTTTTATAGGCGAAGCTCGACGTTCACGGACGTGTTTGCTAGTTTACGGTCTCTACCGTGAACTCTGCAATCAGTTTGTGAACTGGGAATAGTCAGTAAGTGTTACACACGTAGAAGTTCATGGTTCACTAACTCGTAAGACAGTGAACTCAGTAATGCGTCTGTGAACTCAAGTGAAAACAGGGCTGAAAACAAGTTGACTCGACCTACTCCACCGTGCCTCCTAACGATCACAACACAACCTTAAAACGCAAAAGCACAAAACTTGGCACGAGGATACCACTCGACCACTTGAACTCTTCACTTGACACAAAAACGAAAATAAGGAAAAGAAAACAAACCTCCGTTGGGTTGCCTCCCAACAAGCGCTAAGTTATCGTCATTAGCTTGACGGTTGAGGATCAATCACGTCTTGGAACGTGATGCAACCGAGAGTGGATCCACCACACTCTAAGGGCGAGGCATGTAGCCTCCCAACTTAAGCTCCATGCGTTGGCCTTCTTGGCCGACGACCTTAGCTTTGCCTTTCTCCTTCATTCGGGCCAAAGCTTGCTTCATCTTTTCCCTCCAAGCTTTCTTCTTTCTTTCTTTGGGCTTAATACCCTTCTTAACACCCTGCTTAACATCACCACAAGCAACACAAGTGATAGTGGGGTTCGCCTTGAGAGGCTCTCATCCACTCACATTCAAGTCATCCAATACCAATTCCTTCACATCCTCACTTCTAGCCTTAGTTTCAATTTCAAGAGTGATCCTCTCCTCACCATCCCTCATAATCAAGATCCCCTCATTAACATCAATTAACGCCTTGGCGGTGGCAAGGAAGGGACGTCTTAGTATGAGTGGCATGTTCGAGTCCTCACTTATATCAAGGATCACAAAATCCGTCGGAAGCAAAACTTGCCTACTCACACTAACATGTCCTCCACTATGCCCTTAGGGCTAATGACCGAGCGGTCGGCTAAGGTAACACTAAGTTTAGTGGTCTTGAGTTCACCGAGTTCTAATCTTTTGGAAAGCTTATAGGGCATCACATTAACACTCGCTCCTAAATCCGCCAATGCATTTTCTATGTGATGATCACCAATACTAAGAGGGATAGTGAAGCTACATGGGTCGCGTCGCTTCTTGGGCAACTGGTTAAGGAGGAAAGCCGAGAACTCCTCTCCAAGAGTCACGTTGGAAAGGTCTTCAAACTTCGGTTTCTTGGTGAGGAATCCTTTGAGGTACTTTTCATACCTTGTCATGTGAGCCAAAGCTTCAAGGAAGGGAGTGTTGAGGTGGAGGTTTCAGAGCATCTCCATGAAACCTCCACATTTCGCTTCCAACCTCTCCTTGTATACCCTTGTGGGGAAAAGAAGAGGTCGCTTGTACTAAACCACCGGAGATGGCATCGGCGAAGCCTTCCTTGCCACTTCTTTCTCCCCCCTCGAGGGCTCTTCATCTCCATCCTTTGGGTTGGAGATTTCCTTCTCAATCCCTCATTTGGCAACAACTCCCGGAGTCACCTTCCCACTTCTCAATTGAACTGCATTCACCTCGGCATGATCTTTGGGGTTTGCCACTGTTTGAGAAGGTAGAGCTCCCTTTGGTCTCTCGGTGAGGATCCCGGAAAGATTGCCAATTTGCACCTCCAAACTTTGAAGGCTTACTTGATGGCTTTGGAGTCCTGCCTCAACCGAGGTAAACTTGGTAGTTGCCACATCCATAAATTTCTCAATCTTCTCGAACTTTTGAGTACTCGTGCTCACAAAGGTGTTCACTAGGTCTTCAAGTTTGGATAACTTGTCGGGTTGTTGTTTTTGTTGAAACCCTTGACCACCTTGTGCTTGGTATGGTTGTTGGAAGCTCGAGTTTTGAAATTGAGGCCTTTGTTGGATGAAAGTTGGCCGAGGTTGATAATTCCCATAGGGCCACGGAAACTCGGTGGTCTCGGATTAGTCGGGGACGACCAAGCAAAATTAGGACGATTTCTCCACCCGGGATTATATTATTGCTATACGGGTTATTACCACTAGCGTTGGAGACGAAACTAACTTGTTCCTCCGCCATCTCATGGTTAGTGCTTGTGATATGATCCCAATGGGATCAATCCACAATTCACAATTACTTAACAAAGAAGTCATCTCAACTAACTTAAAGAATTCTGATTTTTGGTTAAGTGTTGAAATAGTTTCAGGTAGCCTACTTTGGAAGCTTGTATCTCACAAATGGCTCAATAAAAATGGGAGATCAAGAGCTTTTTTTGAAGATATATTTTTTAACTTTGCAATGGTATATTATAGAGATCAAGGGGATTTCTGTAAGGTCACTTTCAAAGGCCATCAAAAAGCTGCCTCAAAACAGGAAAACTACCTAAATTTGGCTAAGGCGGAAAACTGTTTTGAGATACCAACTTTGAAGGCCTATATCTGGAGTTTGGAGCATGATCTCAGGCTGATTAAAGTTGGAGGTGAAAGAGGAAGTTTTATTCTACAAAGTAAAGGAATTGGTTGAGTTAGAAGGGCTCAAAGATGCTATGAAGCTAGTTTTCTTAGGCAGACTTGCTTGTGTTTTAAGTCAGTTTCTTGGCTTCCAAGTTACCTTGTTTTACACGAATTCTTTAGCCTATTCCTGTTCTAATTTGTTTCCTTGTTAGTTTAGAATTGTATTAGGTTTTCTTGGCTATAAATAGCCTTCTATCTACGTTGTAAAAACAGAAGACTTTGATTAATCAAAAAACAAACCCTTTCGTTTTGTGCAAGTTGCGACTTGTTTGAGTTTGGTGGATTCCAAACTTGTGAGCTTTGTATCGATTGAATATTCTCTTCAATCGTGGTCGAGCATCTACCCTTTTATACCACACGAGCTTTCCCAGGTGTGGAATTTCCCGTTGATTCCGTTTTATCCCAATTTCGTATTAAGAACGCGTTGTTCTTAATTTGAGTTCAATCAATCTATGGATTGATTGATTGCTGCGTGGATTTGGTAAAAATACACCCCCCAGGTATTACCTTGAACACCAATCACAAGACATCACCGCTCTCTTCCCTTGATTCTGTCCTCAAGAATTACCTCGATCAACTTGTCAAGCTTCGCTTCAAGTGGAGCACTTGCTCCCACACTTTGCACTCCTATTTCATTGCTTCTCTTCCCACATCTCGTCAAGCCCCAATCGTATCCTTTAAGAACCATATCCTCGAGCAACTCAATCACTTGAGGTGGGGTCATATTCATCAACCTCCCTTGGCAAAGAGAGTCAATGAGAATCTTGTCTTCATGTATAAGACCACAATAGAAATTTTCTATCCGAAATTGCTCCTCAAATCTATGGTGAGGGCATTGAACGAAGTAGTCGGAGAATCTTGCCCAAGCATCTCACAAGGTCTCATCTTCGTCTTGCTCGAAATGGGTGGTCTTTCTCCACTCGGTCGTCTCAAAGGAGGCCAATAGTGGGTCATGAATTTGTTGAGAAGATCATCCCACGAGGTGATTGAACGAGGCCCTTGGTTGTTGAGCCATCGGAGTGCCTTCCCCGAAAGTGAGTAGGAGAAAAGCCTCAATTGCAAAGCTTCCACCGGCACGCCATTTATCTTCAAACTCCCTACAAGCTCAAGAAACCTTTGCACATGCTCCCTCGTTGATTCTCATGTGTTCCAGTTGAATAAAGCATTGTTTTGAATCATAGTCACGAGGGTCGGCTTGATTTCAAAATTAATGGCCGCCACAGGTAGGTGTAAGATAGGTGATTGGAT